CTGAATCGACACAGGGAGATTATTAGTTTTCAGTAAGATTTGATTCAATTAATTAGCCTGAAAATATCAGCACAGCCAGGCGAGCAAAGAAAAACAGAGATAAATCCCTGCCACGGCACTGCTTCATCTTTTAAAGGCAATTAACTCTTAGTTATTAGCTTTTAATTAGGGAATAATAATGACACCATTAATACAGTGCATTACACTTGTCAGCAGACAGCTGCTCCAGGCAGGCTCCGCCGTCGAATCTCGGCTGGGTCTGCCAGGAGGCAGAGCTGGGGGTCCTGCTGGGGGTCCTGCTGGGGGTCCGGGCTGGGGGTCCCTGCTGGGGGTCCCTGCTGGGGGTCCCTGCCGAGCCCTGGGCTGGCTCCCCCTGCCCCAGCCTGCCAGGGAGGGGTGGAGCAGGGCAGCACCAAAAAATGGATGAGCAGAGCATCCCTGAGAAATGGATGGAGCAGAGCAGCACCCCGTGCCAGGCTCCAGAGCAGCCCCAGAGCTCCAGGACAGCCCCAGAGCCCCAGGACAGCCCCCAAAGCTCCAGGACAGCCCCCAGAGCCCCAGGACAGCCCCAGAGCTCCAGAGCAGCCCCCAGAGTTCCAGAGCAGCCCCCAGAGCTCCAGAGCAGCCCCAGAGCCCCAGGACAGCCCCAGAGCTCCCTCCCTGTCCTGGCTGTGCCCCTGTCCCTGTCTGGAGCCCCTGAGCACCCCTGGGAGGGGGGGATGCTGGAGCTGTGCCAAAGGCACTCCCACACCTCAGCTCACAGCACCCGAGAGGGACCCCAAAAGCCTCCCTGGTTTGTTTTAATCCACTCTTTGGAAGTGCTGGGCAGAGCAGGGCAGAGCTGACTGAAACAAATCATCACCCTAAAGAAATTCAGCACCTGGGGTAATTGCAGCCGTTCCTAAGGTCCCTGCAGGCCCAGGTCCCTGCCTGCACACACTGCCAAGGGTGCCAGCAACACTTGGAATTCTCCTTTTTGCACCAAATTTATTGTGAAACTTCAAACCCTGCTGGGAGAGCAGCAACCACGACCTTGGCAGTGGCCAAATGCCTCCAGTTTTCATTTCTGTGTCTGCTGAGTCACCAAAATGAAATCTCCAGAGGCCAGAGATTACACAGCAAACCACATTTCCCATTATTTTCCCCATTATCTTGTTTCAGTGTGTTCTACCAAAGGCTGGAAACCATTTCCAGGGCACCAGCCTGACTTCACTGTGGTTTTTTATTCCTTTATCACACAGGAATTAATCTTACCCCGAATTATGCACACAGGATGCTCCAACAACACAAAAACACAACGCCATAAATTTCCCCAAACACTCTGGAGTTAATGAATCACCAAAATAAGTGTCAAATATTCTGGTGGGTTCCACCACCTTGGTTTTAATTTGTTTTCCTTGCTCTGGACTGGAGGAAGCCCCAAGGGAAACGCCAGAGGCTCCTTGAGCTGGAGCCTGCTCAGGGAAGGAATTCTCCTCCTCTCCCAGCACAGTGCAGCCAAATCCTGAGGAGAGAATGGAACAAAGCAGTGGGAGAGGCTATTTGCAATTTCTGCAGGAAAGCAGAGCTGTTAAACTGAAAGCAAAGCTGCACAAAAGGGAGAACTTCCCCCACCGAGCACTGACATAAAAATAAGGAGGAGGAGGATGGCAGGAGAAAACCAGATTCTAACCATGGGCCTGGGAAGTGGCACAGAGAGACTGCACTGCAGGGAAAGGGAAAGGGAAAAAGAAAAATGAGGGAAAAGGGGGCAGGGAAAAGGGAATATGAGGGAAAAGGGAAAAGGGAAAAGGGAAAAGGGAAAAGGGAAAAGGGAAAAGGGAAAAGGGAAAAGGGAAGGAACATCAGTGCTAGGAAGCTCCAGCAGGGCGGCAGCTCCCGGGACAGGCTGATCCCTGTTCCAGGCTGGCAGGTCCCAGGTGTGGTGCTGGAGGCATTGTCATCCCTGTGCCACCCTGTGTCATCCCTGTGTCACCTGTGTCACCCTGTGTCACCTGTGTCACCCTGTGTCATCCCTGTGTCACCTTGTGTCACCGTCTGTCACCCTGTGCCACCTGTGCCACCCTGTGTCATCCCTGTGCCACCCCTGTGTCACCCTGTGCCATCCTGTGTCACCCTGTGTCACCTTGTGTCACCGTCTGTCACCCTGTGCCACCTGTGCCACCCCTCGGGGCTGAGCACAGACCCCTGCAGCCAGGGAAACGCGAGGACATCTCTCCCTCCTGAGGAAAACTGCAGGGAGATTCCTCCGGACAAAAGGGGCCAAGGCCTCGCTTTGGGAGCAGCACAGAGGGAGAGGAATTGCAGCTTCACTTGAGCAGCCAACTTGAGCTGAATCGGTGAGAAAGGGACGGGAAATGGAGCCCAGAGCCCTCCCTGAGCACAGGCACCTCACGAAGCCGTGCTCGGGCAGATTTTTCACTTCGTGCTGACAAAAATCTCACCCCGATCACCCGAGGCAGCCACAAAGCTGCAGAGTTAATTCCGTGCCACAGCTGAAGCCCGGATTAACCAGGCTCGGCCCCAAGAGGCTCCGAGCTCTTCAGGTGACAGAGAAGGGAACCCCAGCCCTGGGCAGAGCCTCGAGGAGCTCGCACTCACACCAGAGCTCCTCTCCCACCTCTGCAGGGACAGAAGTGCCCGGGACCCCCAGCACCAGCTCCGACATCTCTGCTCAGCAGATGCTCCCTGCCCTGGGCGGGCACTCCTGCCTGCCTGAGCATCCCTGTCCCTCCTCAGCAAAGAGCATTTGCTGCACTTTCCAGAGATGGCTGCAGTCAAATGAAGCAGATGAGCAGAGGATCTGGCCATTTCTTTATTTTTAAACCATGGTCTGGGGCACAGGGGAGGGATCACTCCTGCTTCAGGGACACTGGCTCGTTTGCTAGGGGATGTCAGCAGCTGGCATCTGAAATGGCAGAGCCAAAGTGAACTGTGCTGAAACTGAGCCAAAATCCTGTTTGTTCCACAGGAAAAGTGGTTAAACTGTGCTCACTGTGCAATTCCAAACAGTATTTGCACAGTGGCCTTTACATTTCCCCTGTTGGAAACCAAAAATTTAATTGTTTTGCTGCTCTCATGCAGAATAAATAACTCCCAGTGATTTTCTGTTGGTGAGCAAGTAACCCAAGGACTTCTCTTCTTCTGCTACCAAAGCTGCCAAATAATTCTGTGTCAACAGCTCCAGCTCATTGGAGTCTCAGGATTGTGCCAAAACTGCTTTTTTGTGTGCCTGTGCCAGCACAGTCGCTCCTGGGACAAGGAACAAGAGATGACCTGAAAGCTCCGGGTGGGAAATTAAAGGTGTTCAAATGAAGTTCCAGGGAGATGCTGTTTGAGGAGGTTCAGTGACCTCCTGCTGCACAAGACTTTAAACTTAGAAATGAAGAGACTTCAACCCCCCAAAAAGTGTCATTCTGAAATGCTCAACAGCTTTTAATTCATTTTGAACCTAGAGGCAGAGAAAAAAAAATAGGCAAAAAATACATCACAGCCTTAATCTAAGGGGAGAAAGAAAGAAAAAAAAATCATTATTTTTATAGCACATAATCAGACACAAATATATTTCACTGGAGGAAGGGGTAGGAATGTGCATTTGCTATTTCCTTTCAATAGGCTGGTGCCCAGGGGCCATCAGTACGGCCACATCCTGAATCTGCACAAGTCATTCCTACAGCAAAACGAGGGATTTAAAAATCAACAAAAAGAGAGAAAAGCCTTGCACCAAGGAAGGGCATTTGACAGTTCCAGGTTCATGTTTAACATAACTCAGCATCTGAATATGGGGTGAGGAAACACACTTGTGTTTTTACAATATAAATAGTATTTGGGGAAGGAACTACACATGGCTACAGCTACTGCAGGACTCGAACATGCAGAGGAAATTCCCCGTCGCTCACAACCACTCATCCCATCCCACCCTTCCCTCCCACCTCCAAAAAAATTCCTCTGCTGGTTAAATTTCTCTTTCAATTGTTTTAAATATTTCTCTCGTGGCCTGGCAACATTCTTAGTCTTTTATACAGCAAGTTTTCTGTTTAATCACATTTCAACCGACAGGAGACAGCTCTGTGGGAGGAACAACCGAGGCTGGGAGAACCTTGCCAATTTTTTAAACTTTTATTAGTCTCAGTTTGGTTTTATTTGTGGAGACATCTACTGAAAACGTCAAAAACTCAGAAATAAAAAAACCCCAAAAGCAGAACCGTGTTTCCAAGGCCTCCCCCCACGCACGCTCAGCCACGCGCACGGAAGGGCCCGGGGCGGAGGCAGGAGAGGGGACGGCACCTCCAGTCCCCAAGGGAGAACAAAACCAAAGTAAAAAAGGAATTACATTGCTTTATTCTATCTCCACTCTTTCACTAGGACAGTTTAATACCCGTGGAGTCTCTTAAGATGCTAATCTGCCATCTGCTAGCCCACAAATCCTTCCCACTTATTCCCTTGAAGATCCAGAGCGTTGCTTAACGGCCTCCCCCCGGAACAACGGCCACCTCGCAAAGGGGCTCACAAATCAGAATAAAAACAAGAACATTGTCTCTCTCCATCCAGTCATATCAGGGAACTAAGTGGAAAAGATTGCAGTGCAGCATTGCAGGTTGCTGGCTGGCCCAGCTGGGGCGCAGGGAGGGCAGGCTCCGGGTGCCCTCTGCTCTCCCCTGGCCCTGAACCTCCCCAGCTCTGTCCCAGCTCAGCACCAGCCCTGCCTCCTTCTGTCCCTCTGAACTACTCAGGTCCTCCAAGGAGCTGGAAGACTTTCCAGTGACTGCAGCAGGGCTTGGATCAGGCTCCTTCCCAAGCAGCTCTTCAGCCCCAGGGCATTCCCAGACGTCCAGCTGGGAGCTGCCCGCTCAGCACTTCAGGGCCGGGGTCTGCCTTTGATGCTCCTTCAGTCCTCAGTGAGCTGAGTCCACCAAAGGCAGGGCTGGCACTCCTCTTCCCCAGGAGCAACTCACAGGCTCAGTCTTTGCTTAAGGAAAGGATGTCACGACAATCAGATGTTTGAGGAATTTCTTCTTTAATAGGATAAAAGAAAAACATACAAACACCTCCCAAGCTTCTGTCATGGAATGATTCTCACACTGTAAGGAGCACAACTCAAAAAAAAAAAAAAAATTAAAAAATAAAGAGACAAAGGAAAGAGAAAGGATAAGTGCTAAGGGAGAAGTGCTGCTGGGGAGCCTCTCGCTCGTGGGGAGCTAACACAAGCAGCAACAGAACACTGCCAAACCAGGGTGGCACACTGGAACTCAAGCCATGCTGATCCTGAACTAGAAAGCAACTACGATGGCAAAGGTGGGGAAGGAAGATGACAGGGATGACCCAAACGTGGCCATTTCTTCCCTAAGCCCCTCCCTGGGGACACGGCGGCGATGCCAACATCCAGCCCAGGGCGTGAGAGAGCCAACGGCAGAAACATCCCAGCGGTGAACACCTCCTCCCCCACCTTCCCCGGCTTACAAAGATTGTGTTTCTTTACAAAAGAAGAACCCAGAACATTCCAGGACATCTGCTCTTGCTCTCCCTCTCCCCGCTGTAACATCAGTCACAATTCGTCTGGGGGTGAGGGGGGAGGATTTCATTTATTTTCTGTTTTAAAGCCATAATCTAGAAAAATGTTTTGTGGAAACTTTCATTTTCCTATTTTTGCTTGCTTTTTTTTTTTAATAATGCTCATTCATAGAAAACTTCACAAAGGTGACGTCTATGTACAGAAAACACGATTCCAAAGGCTGCTTCAGTAGTCAATGTAATAGCACCTTGAAAGACAAAAGTTTGACAGATCTGAAAAAGTCATTTTGTTAAATTTTAACCCTTTCCTCGTAAAAAAGAACCAGTCACAAAGCTCCATCTGTAGAAACTCTTCCAAAGTCTCCGTGTGAAAAGCTGAAGGGTTTCCAAGCTCCCCAGCTCTTGGTCAGCAACTCCTGGCAAGGTCGAGGTAGCAGCCAGACAGGGATTTATTTCCTGCAGTCCAAACCAAGAGGAGATGAAAGAAATTCACAGCAGGCTATTGCACAGGGCTGGTCTTCCGTTCCACAGTTTCCTATTTATTTTTCCGCTAACTCAAAAAGGGTTAATTGAATATTTTGAATGAATCCTGGTTAAAACATGTTGCTCTGAGTCCCAGGCTGGTACTGTGTCTGCAACAGGCTCTCCATAAAGGCCAAGTAATCTGGGCTTTGTCCATATTCCTCAGGATTCCTTGGATTCCCCAGCCGGGGACGCTTGGCTGCTCTCACTTCATCTCCTGAAAATACATCTTCCTGAGGGGCCCCAGTGCTGAGGGACTGCAGGAGACACAAAACAACCATTAGGGGCACAGCAGGAGCACAGGGAGAGACCCCCAGACCCCTCGGGCTGGGAACAACCTGGGCACCCCCAGCCCCATCACCTGGTTAAATGAAATGGCTTTAAGGGGTAAAGCACCAGGTCTGAAAACACCCAGCAGGTCTTGAACCAAAAAAAAAAGCTATGAAATAAATCCCTCATCTTTCCTAGGCTCAGTAACTGCACTGTATGCACTTAAAGACAGCCTGATCTTGTGTAGATTAAGAGATTTATAGGTAAGAGCCGCACTCTAAATCTCCAGTTTGGTGAGAAAAGGGGTTTGGTCCCACGGTGATCATCAGCTCTCCAGAAACCCCGAGCTAAGCTGCAGCTCACCTCACCCTTGGACAGGATGACTCCACATAACTGAATTCACATGGTGTAAAATGATCTGAATGTAATCTTTTAACCAGAGAAAATAAAACTCTGAGCTGAACACGTGCAAGGGGAAATCATTTCTGTGCCTCTCGAGCATCCATGGCCAGGATTTCTTCCACTCTGTGTGTTTTGGGAATGACAAGCAGTTTTACAGCCACAGAAAGGAGGCTGCATTCACCTAATGTCTAAAAAATACATGAAGAAAATGTGAAGGGGCTCTGCAAGCTGCAGCTGGTTTATTGTTTGCTATTTTGGTACCCACCAGGCGAGACTTGACTCTCTTGGGAAGCTCTTCCTCCAAGGTATAAATATCCCCTCTCTTCACCATCAGCTGAGAGCCATCCTCAAACTCCACCTGCAGGGAGGCAGAAGATGAACTCAGAGCCAGCACTGAACAGCCCATTCCCATCCTCCAGAACAGCCAGGCAGCACCAGGGGCCAGCCCCCAGGGATGTCTGCAGGGCTGCTGTGCAATGAGCACTCCCAAGCTCTGGGGAGGATGCTGAGCCCAAAAGTGCTGCTTCCAGTGCTGTTCAGGCACCTCTGTCTTATCCAAGTGGATTCATTCAGTGCTCTGTGGATCCCAAAATATCTGTACTCCAGCTGGCCCAGCACCTCACATTTCTACTGATTTTTGATTCATATCCTGCAAAAAGCAGCTTTTCACTTATAATAAAAGCAGCCCTCTATTCAGGCCAATATGGTAATAAGAATTCTTTCATCTTAAACAAAGCATTTTTACAGGTCACAAGGAAACAACTCCAGCTACTAAAGTACATTTGTATTTCAAGCAGCAGAAATAGTCAGCCAGGTACAAAAAACTCCTCCCATGAAACCCTTTTTGCTAAGCACTGATTATATCATGAATTATGCATCTGATGTTCCAGGGATGTTTATTCATGGAAACGTGCACAGCAAAATGTTAAAACTATTAAAAGTTTTTAAGGGATTCTTATTTCCTTTGCCCAAGACTTTAATACACTTTTCTGCATGAAGCAGAAGGACACAGAGCACAGTTTAATAGAGGTGACAAGTTCAGGCTGGACAAACTCAGAGGGAAGAAATCATCTGCTCCCAAATCCCCCTCCTGCTCCCCCAGCTGCAGCAGCCCATCCCTGGTGCAGGCTCAGCTCTCCCATCCTGAGCACACCCCAGGGACCCCTGTGCCACTCACCTGGTAAATCTGGCTGATCTGGGCTGCAATGAACTTGGCCTTGTAGATGATCCCATCCGTCCACTGCAGCTGCACCAGCTCCCCCTCGGGAGGGGGCCCCATCTGGATGCAGTCCCTGCTCTGAGGACACAGAGAGAGAGGTCAGAGACACAGCTCCAGCAGAGCTCAGGAGCCAGAGGTGTGCTAAAAATCACATGGTAATGAGCAGCAGGACACATTTCTGCACTTGTGATTAATTGTGGGCATCTCAAACAAAACCAGCCTGAGAGAGCAGCAATGGACTCTGGCAGCTCCTTCTGCTGCCAGCACCCAGCTCATTTCTCATTACAAATCCCACTGCATCACATCTCCTGTATCTCAAAAACAAGCAGGGCAACTCACTGAATCAGTGGCACAATCAGGAAGGCAATGCATGAGCTGACAAATCAGCCTCTTCCAGACATTCCCTCTATTAAGTGAATTCCCTGTTTTGAACCAGAAGTGCTTACGAACAATCTGCTTCCCCCATGAATCACACTTGTCAGTTGAAAAATAAGATTATTCAACCACAAAACAAATAGGATGAAATTTAGAACAAACACTGCTTTCTGTGAAGTCATCTGCATTCAGCAAGATCACATCTTTGTAAAGCAACCAAAAAATAAATGAGATAATGTCAGAAACAAGATCTGTCGTGAAGAGCGGGATGAGATTTTCTAGGCAAGCAGCAACTCAAAAATTAAAATGAAAAAGTTCAGATGTGCTTTGCTGCTCCAGCCCGAGGCACAGCTCACAGTGTGCACTGCCTGTGACACAGCAGTGTCCCCAGGCTGCCTTACAATGATGCTCTCGGGGTAGACGTTGTCGCTGTAGGAGCCGTCGTCGAAGTTGACTTCGTAGAAGGTCTGGGTGCTGGTGCCGATGACCCTGCAGCGGTAGTAGAGCCCGTTCCTGTTCTTGGTGATCACTGTCTGCCCCAGGGCCACCTCCCTGCGCAACGGCACCTGCAGGGACACGGCAGGGTCAGCTGCCAGCCGCAGCTGGCTCCAAAATTCCATGGAATCATGGAATGGTTTGGGTGGGAAGGACCTTAAATCCCACCCAGTGCCACCCCTGCCATGGCAGGGACACCTCCCACTGTGCTCCCAGCCCTGCCCAGCCTGGCCTTAGGCATTGCCAGGGATCCAGGGGCAGCCACAGCTGCTCTGGGCACCTGTGCCAGTGCTCTACTCTCTTCATAGAGTTCTTTCCCAATATCCCATCCAAACCAGCCCTCCTGCAGATTAAAGCCAACCCCAACAATGGCTTCCTGGACAACCTTCTGCATTAAAAGCACAAAATGTTTTGAGCCAACACAGGTGGGGAGAAACTATTGTAAAAAACTCCAGAAACCAAAAATCCCAAATCCCCCAGTCCAACCCCCCAGCCCAGCCCAAAACCTACGTTCTGGTTTGCTGCTTTGTGCTTGAAGCAGGTGATGGACACGACGTAGGGCCAGTCGTCGGGCTCCATGGGCACGCCGGCCGCGTGCGCGCACGTCACGTGGAAGGACGTGGAGCAGTGCTCGTAGGAGCACTGCACACAGGCCCCAGACACCTTCTTCATCCTCTTCCTGCAGTACACACACCTCTGCAAGGGAACACAGCTTGGTCACAGCCAGCTCTGCCAGGGAACACAGCTGGGGTGACATCCAGCTCTGCCAGGGAACACAGCTGGGGTCACATCCAGCTCTGCCAGGGAACACAGCTGGGGTCACCCAGCTCTGCCAGAGAACACAGCTGGTGTCACCCCTGCCAGGGAACACAGCTGGAGTCACACCTGCAAGGGAACACAGCTGGGGTCACCTCAGCAAGGGAACATAGCTGGGGTCACCCAGCTCTGCCAGAGAACACAGCTGGGGTCACCCCTGCAAGGGAACACAGCTGGAATCACCCCTCAGCAAGGGAACACAGCTGGGGTGACAGCCAGCTCTGCCAGGGAACACAGCTGGGGTCACCCAGCTCTGCCAGAGAACACAGCTGGTGTCACCCCTGCCAGGGAACACAGCTGGAGTCACACCTGCAAGGGAACACAGCTGGGGTCACCTCAGCAAGGGAACATAGCTGGGGTCACCCAGCTCTGCCAGAGAACACAGCTGGGGTCACCCCTGCAAGGGAACACAGCTGGAATCACCCCTCAGCAAGGGAACACAGCTGGGGTCACCCAGCTGCCAGGGAACACAGCTGGGGTCACCCCTCTGCCAGGGAACACAGCCAGAGCTCAGCTCTCTCAAGGAGCAGAGCCTGGAGCCCTGCAGAGACCCCGCAGCCCCCACAGGACTGGCACAGGGCACAGAGCCTGTGGCTGCAGTGCCACAGCCCAAGTGGTGTTCTGTGCCAAGGGGTCGGGCTCACACGGCCAGGACTGTCCATGTGAACCCCTCAGGATCTCTCCAAGCCAAATCCAGCAGATGTTTCATCCCCTACCTCAGCACTCCAGTCACTCAGCCCTGCAGAGCTGCACTGGGCACACACAGACTGGACCCAGTTGGGACTGGCCAAACACCCAGCATGGCACCAGAGAACTGCTGCACCCTCACCCTGCTCACACAAACTGCACCTACACTTCATTCATTCCAACAGCACTGGATCCTCACAGGTGCACTGCTGGAAAATAACATTTCCATTTTTCTGAAGGAACAGAACGCAGTAACTGGGTGGCAATTTGCTCGATTATATTTAATGGGACATTGTATTGATCAGATCTCATGGAATATAAAATCACATAATGGAACAAAAATACTGTGTGTTTATTCTAGATGCATAAGCATATCAACCATAAATATTTTATTGGCATCCATGTCAGATGAGCCACTGTAGATAATTCAGTCAGTTTTGCAAACAAAGGAAATAAAAACATTGTACGAAAAAAACCAAGAATTATTGGGGAAAAGGTCTGAAATCTCAGAGACATTTTCACACTCATTTTCTGCAAAGCAGACCCAGTTATGAGGTAAATCGATGTAAGGCGTGTGACTGCTTTAAAAAGAAATTACATTTTCTCAAAGCTAAAAATCCTGAGCCTGATGGCACTGACAGTGAGCAGGAGCTGTAGTGGGAACAAGACAAATTTCCTCACTCCCTATAACAGCACCAATTCTTGTTTCCATCCCCTCAGAAATACAGAAAAGGAGATTTTGGGAATCCCAGTCTAAAGAATGGATTCTTGCATAATGTTTCCAGGGATCCATTTGGAAACACCCCTCAGTTTTTAACATTTCCAGGAATCTGTCACTGATCAGCAAATCCCAGAATGGTTTGGGCTGGAAGGACCTTAAAGCTCATCCCAATCATCCAGCCCCATCCAGCCTGGCCTTGGGGCACTTCCAGGGGTGGAGCAGCTTCTTTACCTTACCTGAGGCTGGCACAAGGCAAATCAGGGCAAAATTAATATCAAACACATGAGACAAATGTGCCTTTCAGGATTAAAATGAACGAAAGGTGTCCCTGACCATGGCAGGGGGTGGAACTCCAAAACCTTGAAGGTCCCATCCAGCCCAAACCATTCTGGGATTCTGTGACTCCTTCTCCAGGAACACTTCTCTTCCCTGAAAGCAAAAGATGCCAAAGAACAGGAGATTTGCTCTTCCTTATTCCTGTGCAACACCCCCCTCCCTGCCTGGGCTCTGCCCCACATTTGTATGAAATAAGCCCCATGAATTAACTGAAGGCACTTTGTTTACACCAAAGATTCATTTGGCCTTTTTACACAAACGAACAAAAGCCAGGAAATTCAAAGCCAGAGCCCGAGAGCTGCCAGAACATGGGTTTAGCCTTTAATAAGCTGAGCTTTTATCACTCTGCAAACCATGTTCCAGAGGCTGATAAGCACCAGGAAAGTGCCCAGCAGGACTGAGGGGAGCCAGCAGCACTGATGCCATTGTGAACCTGTCGATATCCCCTTGTCCCAGCAGTGGGGACAGCTGCTGACACACAGGGGGCTCGGGGAGCATTAACCCTCCCAGGGCAGGAACCTGCCCCTCCTGATGCCAGCAGCACTCTGCCAAGGCAGGACCAGCACACAGCCAGTGCCACCCTGTGCCCACACAAACTCCCTGTGACAGGCACAAGAGCTCAGGCAAATATGATCAGAAGATAAATGTGAGTGACAGTGAGCCTGATGTGGAAGGAGTGATGGAGGAAGTGACAGTTCTTGGCTGTGAGGGTGGTGAAACACTGGCACAGGGTGCCCAGGGCAGCTGTGGCTGCTCCATCCCTGGCAGTGCCCAGGGCCAGGCTGGACAGTGGGAGGTGCCCCTGCCACGGCAGGGGTGGCACTGAAGGGGATTTAAGGCCCCTTCCAACCCGAACCAGTCTGGGATCGTATGAAAATGCAGATCTGGAAGTGTGGGAGATGGGATGGACAGAAACACCAGTGCCAAGTGCTGTGGGAAAGCTGCACAAGGAGATTTAAAAGCATTTTCTGTAGGAGGGAAAAGAGTCCAAAGCACAGGAGAGAAATCTTCGGGATAAAATGCACAGCAGAGTCAGGTCACTGCTGAGAGTAAGAAATGGGCTGTCTGCTGCATGATGAACACTGCAATTCATTTACTCCACTGAGGAATGACAGCTAATTATTCCAAATTTCCACGTCATAAATAATTTACGTGCACAGGCCTGTAATGTGCCATCAATCTGGGAGCAGGAAACTGCAGTCCTGAAAATGGTGCCATACCCACAAATGGACTGAAAAGTCTGTGCTTGCACAGGGAGACCTGGTCCAAGCTTAGAGAACAGGATGTTCCTTTCACCAGATCACCGCCACTCCTTGGCACCTCAGCCCTCATCACAAGGAACTTAAAACAATAAAAACATATTAAAAAACCAAATTATAACCATGGATAACCCCTACCCCCTCTCTCCTCCACTACCATCATCTATTTACATCAGCTGTCCTCACCCTTCACATCATTCCTTCTCTCCTTTTCCATCTTTTCCAGCCACAAAGGTCATCTTCCCAATTTCATCAAGTACTGCACCAAGCCCATCATTGCCAAAGTCAGGAGCTCCAGTGCCATCACCTTTTAGTCTCCCTCAGTTTATCTTCCCAACTGCAGCTGCTCACCTCCAAAGCACTCAGCCCCCAGCTCCTCCAGTGACTCCCCACGTGCTCCAGGAATTACCTGCAAATTCCCATGAAGAATCCTAAAACTCCCCACCATGGCTCATGAGTCTCTGCACACAATCTCATCCAATTTACACTCCCTTTGTACCTCACACCCCACAGCACAGCCCCACTGCCTCTGCAGTCTGCCATCCAATTTAATTGTTTAATCCTTACCTAACTGATAACTCTAAAACTTTCCAAGTGAAGGGCTTAAAGCCAGGCTTTGACATTTGAGCTACAAGCCAGGCTCTGGCTAAGAGCAGCATAAGGAATATGTGCCTGTAAATTCCAACACTGGCCTGTGTAAGTTAGGCACTTCATGTAAGAATTCTCCAGGTTCCCTGAGAAAGGGAGAAAACACGAGGTGCAGATGGAGTACAGCAGAAGAAATCAAACACAGTTTCTTTCCAGAGCTCCAGGAGCGTTTGGACAATGCTCTCAGGGTGGATTGCTGGGGTGTCTGTGCAGGGCCAGGAGTTGGACTGATGGCCTGTGGGGACCCTCCCAACCCAGGATATTCTGGGATTCTAGGAAACTTTGCAGTTTGAGTTGAGGAATGAGGAGAAATGGGTGCAGTGGGTCCGTGCAGAGGCTCTGGCAGGCACAGGCTCTGCTTTGGAGCAGAGCAAAGCAGCAGAGCCAGACACACACAGACACTGCCCTGGCTCTGCAGGACTGCCAGGCAGCCAAGGAAGGGTTAAAGAATTAAGTCATGTTTCCTTGTGGGGCTCCATTAAGCAATACAAGTGAGTGTTGTGTAAAAGGATTTTAAGTTCAGCGTTACAAGTGCTGGTAATGAAGAGGATGCACGTTGGAAGTGTCAGCTGATCCATAAAGAGCCACCGCTGCAAGATTTATCACCCCGGCACTGCACTGCCCCATCACTCCTGCTGAATAATGAATGCTTTTTACATTCACATTTGTGTACAAAACCCATTTGCACAACAGAGAAATAACTCTGGAAGCAGGGATAGGTTCCTCCTAATCTCTCACCCGGGCTCGCTGCACTAAGTAGCAGCTCTGTTAACGAATCCATCAGCACAACCCATCTATCACTGCTCCAGCACCTTCCCCATCCCACACTGTCACCCAGCTGACTTCTGTACCAAAAAAAGCAGCAAAAGCACAATTTATTTTGCAATAACACACTATAGTGATGGAGCATTAACTAACATTAAGATAAATTGCTCTGAGCTAATGAATCGTCCATTACTAATCCCTCGGATGAGGCCACACAGCTAAATAACAACTTGGAGCTGGGCTTGTATTAAAATCCTTGCAGTCTTGCCTTGCAGCCAGGGTCACAGAAATGTTTATTCATTTCTACAAGAGATTTCTTGATAGAAAAACAGAAATGTTGTAAGGAAAGGTGAATTAGAGATGAACAAGTCAGCTTCTCTCTAGTCACCATGTCCCTCTGCACTCCTGCTGTGCAGTACTTGGAGTAAACGGAGCTTTCAGGCACTTTACACCTGACTGCAGGTGGGAAGGAGTCCCAGGCTCTGCCCAGGGTACAGCACACTCCCAGAGAGTAAAGGAACATCTGGAAATCAGAGCTGGTTGTGTGTCAAAGCACTGAGAGGGCCCAGCAGACACAAACGACGCAGCTTTTGTTTGGAAATGAGAGCGAGATCACCTCCAACCTCAGCTGCCTCACAAACCCACACAATGATTTTCTGTCTGGTCACAGCTTTTCCCTCTGGCTCTTGTTCCCAAACACTGTCCCAGGTAAAAGACACCCACCAGTTTCCACCTCTGCTCGGGGATGGCGCTGATATCCACAGGGTGACGCTCTATGACATTGAGGAAGCGCGCCTCGGGGACAGCGATAGCACAGATTACATGGACCCACCTGGGGAGCAAAGTGAAGACACAAATCAGGGCCTGCCATCATTTGAATGAAATGCTCAGGAGGGCAGTTAACATTTCCCTGCCTCCCTCAGCATCGAGGCACGTTTCCAGGGGTTGGCAGCCTTGGCAATGTCCCCAGTCGACTGTTAATCAGGGTGGCACAAGGTAAATGTCTCTGGAACAACAGAGACCAACCTTCCCCTACACCTGATACTGCACAATGCTAAACATTCTCTGAGAAGACTTTTCTCTGAGAAACAGCCACATTCAGCAGGAGTTCAGAAGCTCTGCTGTCGAGCAGCCTGGTGCAGCGTAGGGCAGCACAGTCACCTGGGCTCATCCTGCCAAGTCAACGAGGAGCAGTTCCCTCCAGAACCCCAAAGCTTGCTGCTACACTGAGCATTAAAACCAAAGTCACAAGACAGGGAGACTAGGAGCAGCATGGAAGGAAAACACACTCAGAACCAGCACTCACCGGCCATCAGTGGTCATCTGGAGAGCTCCTCCCCTGAGATTGCACAGGCAACATTCCTGCGGGAACACAACTCCTTCAGAACGGGACCCAAAAGCTCTGCCAGGCCGTTCACCCTCCCCAGAAAGCCACCACACCCCGGCTGGGATATCCAAGGCACCCTGAAGCCTCCTCCCCCCGTGCCCGTGGAGCAGCTGGGGGTGCCAGCAGTGCCAGGGGTGTGCTGTGGGCACTCCTTACCGCTGCCCAGGCGCCGGCCGAGCACCGCGAGCACGACCAGCTCTCGTTCACCAGCTCCGGGCGTATCCCGTAACAGCCTGCAAGAAACAGAGCCACAGCCCCTCAGAGCAGCCCTGCCACAGCCCTTCCTAGCTTCACTCCGGGACTCTCCAGCTCAGAAGCAGCTCTGAGAGCATCTGAGGAACTGTATTCCACAGGCTCCGCCAAAATGGGAGCTGGGACCAGCAGGTCTGAAAGCAAACCAACCAAAAGCCCTCCACAGGTAACCCTCACATTTGTTTTTCACTTTTCCAAGGACTACAATAGCAAGACTTTGTTTCTTTAGGCAGGAACTGGGCTCCAAGGTGATGCCACCACTGCTGGAGTGCACTCACACATCAGATGAGGGAAGGGCACTGAATTTTGGCAAGACTGAAGCAGTTACTTTTGCTGAGTGGTGTTATGAGGAAGGACAAGGCCAATAATACTGCAAGGAAATGAAATACCTGCAGTCCACACGGTTAACAGTATTTAATTTATGGTTATAGAAAGTGTTAAAAACATTTCACTTCACAGAGCATCAATTACTGTAACATGCAAACACCAAATCCTCCTACAACACCACCAAAATAGTAAAGTGGTATTATGCCCATTATAAAGGCTGGGAAATAAGAACAAAAAAAGTCCTTAAAATTCTATAAAAGGCACTGAGGTTTGTCACTGAAAACAATGGGGAAAAGACACAAACACAGTTTTGGAAAAGTAGATCTATGTGATTCCTGCAAGCTTGTAAAGTGAGTGGAAAATTGAAGATAAGCATCTCAACTAACACACAGCTCATTACCCACAGCCTCCATCCCTCCTAACAAAATCTCATCCAGCCTTCACCTGTCCTCACAAACTGAACAGAAAATTTCAGCTGGGAACAACAGTCTCAAATTACTGAATTAGACTCAAAAGAAGACATTCAGAAAGCACTGGGATTGCCACCACAGCCTGATTTATAAATATCATCCACTTAACCAGATAAACAGCATGTCAAAAAAAGTCAATACTATGGATCTGCAGCTGCTCTCCACATCTGAGGTCTCTTTTCATCATATGGCAAATCAGGGCAGCAAATGCACCCAGGCCTAGAACAGGGACAGGGGAGTTCAGTCCAAAACTGAGCTGAAGGAGAGCCAGACCCTGAGCTCAGCCTCAAGCTGCACCAGGGCAGGTTTAGATTGAAAATCAGGGAAAATATCTTGATGGAAAGGGTTGTAAAGCATTGGAACAGCCTGCCCAGGGCAGAGGTGGAATCACCATCTCTGGAAGTGTTAAAAACATCCATGGATGTGGCACCTGGGGACACGGGCAGTGGTGGGCAGGGGGTGGTGCTGGGCTGACGTTTGGACGTGATGCCCTTAAAGGCCTTTCCCCACCTCAGTGACTCTGTGAGGGCAGAACAATCCCATTTACTGAACCCCAGGCTGTTCCATAAGGATAATCCAAGAAAAATATGCTCTTTTTATGGATTTTGTCAGTGCCTCAAAAGCCCAGAAACCTTCCCCAAGCTTCCCCTCTCCGCAGGGCCTGGCTGCTGGAAGCCAGCACAGGCTGAGAGGGCACTTCCCAAGAACACACAGGCTGCCAGCTGGTTTTACAGTCAGCCAAAATACACCTCACCACTGCAATCCTGCAATAAAAGCAAATGGATTGTCTGCAGCAAAGTCAAAGGGATGTCACAGAGCACAAGGCAACAAGCAGGCACTCCAGCCTGAGCCTCCATCAGATTTAACACCTGTCCTGCCCTACCCTCAAGGGGAGAGTACAGCCAAAATATAAAACTGAGTTGCTCTAAAAAAAGATGGGTCTCAGTTCTGAGCCTGCAGATTAACATCATCTTGCCCACACCCCTCTGTCCTTAAACAGAATTTGGCCACAGAAACCATCCTGACAGACTGGACTACTGCAGGCCTAAGGATGGACAAGGTGCAGGAGCCCTGAACTGTGAAGGCAGGATGAAGTCTTCCTCCTCACACCCACTGTGCATCCCATGGCCTGATTAGCCAGAAATGACCATAATCAGGGATTCAGCACAGAAACAAAAGTTGCCTTCCAGTTCCCAGCCCTGCTGAGCTGCACGGGGACCTGCAGACTCTAAAATTGGAACAACAAAAGTAATTCCAGCTGATGCAAGTCAAATAAGATTCTCCATCTGTCAAGATCAAACAGCTGAACAGTAATTCGTCACAAATGCTAACTGGATGCTCTACAATCTCCACTGAAGGTACACTCCACCAGGATTAATCAGATCTTCTTTTAGACATAACTATCAGGAAAGCAAACAGACATATGTTCCCTTTTGTAATCAAGTGCCATTACTACAAACACTATCACAGACACTAATAAAATATATCTCAAACTACTCCATAATCTCTGCTGCATGCAGGAACAATATAGCCTCCCCCAGCAGAACAATATTGGAACAAAATATGTGAGAGAAAAGAGTGCAATAAAGCCTTTGAGTTCTGCTTTATTACAAAAAATGAAAGGTATCAAAAGAAAGAATCTTTTCTGTGAGACAGAGACGAACCAGCCAACAAAATAAGCACTAAAAAGAATATTGGTGTGTATTTTTAAGATCAGTGGCTGCCAAGATGGACTTGAATACACAGATGTGCTTTGAGAGAAAGGTTCCCTGCCCATGGCAGGGGATGGGAGCTGGATGAGCTTTAAGCTCCTTCCAGCCCAAACCTTTCTGGGATTCCTGATGTCCTTGTACCAAGGAAGATAAAAACGGGAGTGACAGGATACAAACCTGCCAAGAAGGAACTCAAACACAGCAGCACACAAACTCCTGAGTTTCTGGGGTCCCAAAGGCTTTGGGGAAGGTGAAACACTCACTAGCATGAACCTGCAGGCAGCATTTGGCACAGGATATCAGGGGACTGGTTCCATCCTCTCCGATGTAGGAATTTGAAGGAAGGGGCTCGGTGTTTTCTCCACTTGAGGTAAAGCACATCTCTGGGATCAGGGGCTTGCTCCTCTGGCCACACTTGGAAAGGTGCAGGAAGGAGGGCGGCTCCCCTGCGGAGAGCGGGGCGGCTTCCTTCTCCACCTGTGAGGACTGCAGAGAAACCCGTCACTGGCACCACCTCCTCCTGGCCACGGCTTGCACTGCCCACCTGAGCACTGCCCTTGCAAAAAGGGCACCCAACACCTGACACCAAACTGCCAACAGACAGCCCAAAATCCTGGCTCCCCCTTGCTGCTCCCCCTCTTCCTCAGGCACCGACTGGGGTCTGTAATTTGTTCTGGAAGCTCAAAGAAGCATTAGAATAACGAGCAGCTTTTCCTGGTTTTCTTCTGCAAAAATCTAAATTTCTAAATTGCAGCTGAAAACACCAAGGAAAAATAAAAAGGAAAACATTACTAAAAGCAAGGCCTTCCCTCCCTCCCTCCCTCTCCCATCCCCTTGGCATCCTTCCCTACTTCTCCTGCAAGAAGTTCTCCTGAAGGACATTTCAAGGTTTCTGGTAGCTGACAGAGTTAATAGCAATGGATAAAACAGCTCAGCTGCACCCAGTTTTCCTCACAACAGCCAGCAATCAGAACAGATATTTTATTTTCAGTCTGTATAATAAATCATGAGATTTTATTGAAGGGGGAGGTGGGTTCTGCTTTCCTCAGGAAAAGCTTCCAACACGGCTACAAGTATCTAAGACACGAATTCCTGGTGGGCACACAAAGCCAGATTTGGCTTTATGTGAGAACAAATCAATGCACAACTGCACAAATAACTAATTCATCTGATGAATTTTGCCTTTCTGCTTATAACATATCCCAAAGCATATTGGTAGTTTCCAAAAAAAGGTGATGGATGTGCTTACTCAGTAAATTTTTATTTTGTGGCTTGTTTGCATAAATTCAGCAACTCAGGCCCGTATGGAAACAGGAGCCTGGTGTGACTTTTCTCTGCATGGAACAGTGTTTGCAAAGCTCTTTCAGTGTGATTTCAAAATGAACACTGAGCAAGCCAGAGAAGCCAGGAAAGATAACAAAAAAGGCTCCAGCCACTGCCAAACCCAAACACATTTCTTTGGTGTGCAAATTTGTATGGGTTTGTCTGTATCAGAGATGTCTGCATCCTAACTCATCCATCTGAGCATGTCAGAGGTTTGGGTGAGGTATTAGGGGAATCTCTCCATGGAAGGTGTGGTCAGGCTGCCCAGAGAACTGGTGGGGTCAGCATCCCAAAACACACGTGCATACAGAACACATGGAGACAGAGTGGGGGACGTGGCTTTGGGGTGAACTCAGTGGTGGGGGACTGACAGCTGGACTTGATCCTAGAGCTCTTTTCCAGCCTTAATGATCCCCTGACTCTGTGATGAGGAATTACCTGGTTATAGGGGTAGAAGAGGGTGCAGACAGCACAGTATGGCTCACTCAGGGCAGCAGCTGCATTGAACTTCCTTTCAGCTGGGAAATTAAGTGCTTTGTTCTTCCACTGGAAGGAAAGTAAAGATTTCAAAGCCTCTGGATCACTCATCTCTTCCTCTCCAGAAAATGGAAACATTTCTAGAATGAAAAGGAAAAAAAAAGAAATCCCAAAACAATGAGCAGTCAGTAAAGGCAAAAGAGCAGAGGCAAAAGGAGCAAGGGTGAGTTAAACAGCCCGAGGTGCCTCCCAGAGCTGCCCTGCACACAGCAACCCTGGCTGGGGGTGCCCTGGTTCAGTGTTCTGGTACAGCCATTCCCACAGCTCTGAGCCTCCCACTGCACTCCCCACCATCCCTCCCTCTGCCAGAGCTCTGCCAGCAGCTGCTCCTGCTAATTAGTTTGCTAATTCTTTATTTTATAAACCTTTAAAAGGTCCTTGGCATTTCACGATTAAACCACTGCCGAATCCATTTGTGGCAGTCTGGGGGTCCCAGTTTCTTACCCTTCCTTATGAAGGAGTTTTGAGTCACTGTAAGTGTTAAAGACATTTTCCACACAAGGCTGAATGTAAATCATTCCCTGCATCACCAATCTGCAAAGTTTCCAAAAGAACAGGGAACTCAAAAACATCTTGGAAGAACATTATCCCCAGAGCTCAGCACATTAAACCAAATTGTTCACTGCTTCACTGTTAATTACTGGAAATAAGCAGTTTATGTTCTGCTCTGCAAGTCTAAGTCTCCTCCCCAGTTCTCCCTCCCTTTGAAGATTTTCTGACTCTTGGGTTACCTGAAAGGATAAAAGGAACTTGGGAGTAAAATGTTAATGGCTGGGTTTACATCTCAGATTTTAAATGTTGCCCATAACATATTTGTCAGACAACGTGGAAATTTTATTATGTTTGATGAATCCCTTTTTTGAGGTGATGAGTGCTGGGTGTGTGGCTCTGTCACATTTCATATGAGGGTTACCCTTTAAAAAGTGTTTATTTATGAGACATGAATCAAAATCCACATTTCTCCAAATTTCAGTCGAGGCACATCAGGTGACAGACCAGGATTTATGACACCAGTGAAATCAGGGGAACAGCAGCCTAATCCAGAGTGACAGAGGGAGAGAAGAAAGGGAATGACTGGTGTGTGCTGTCACCTTGGCTCCTCCCAGGATGGATCCCGGGGGACACAAGGCATTCAGGATGGCTCCCACATTGCAAACAACTTGTCTGGGCTCAATCTTTGTGTAACACGTGCCCTCCTCTAATTTACATGCTCACTGTTGCTCCTGCAGCCTGCAGATCATCCTGCACATCATTCCCTGAGAAAGCCTGGGGTGCAGAGGGCTGCCTCTATTCCCTGGTGGGGAGGGAAGAATCTGTTTGATCAGATTTTGCCCAGCAGAGCTGTAAATCAGTTCCCAAGAAATGCCAGCTTCCACAAAAGCTGCTCCTGCTCCACCAGCCAAGTCCCCAAACAGCATCCAACAAGTCAAAGCAGTGAGAAGAATCTGCCTAATGAGGCAGCTGGTTCCAGAGCTGGTTCCAAGGTCTCACACCAAAACAAGATAACAAGTCTCAGCTGCCTCTGCACACTTCACTCCGTGTTACACACTTGGAAGGCATCAAATGCATCCTCCTTGGTGAGGAAAGGAGCTCTGTGAGCTCAGGAGAAGCCTTTCCTGCAGGAGGCTGCTCTAAAATCAATGGATGCACTCCTGAAGGAGGGTGAACGGGAAAGATGATGGCCTTTGGAATGAGGAGCTGTGAGCAGGGACTGCCAGCTACACCCACGTGCCAGACCCAGCACACAAAAGCCCATTACTGGGGCATTGTCCCTATTCTGAGTAATGTGGAAAAGACCTCAAAGTGGGAGATTACTCCACAAAACAGTGTGAGAGGTAAGAATCTTTTCTTTCCCCTTGGTCCAGACTGTTGGGGACTGGAATGGGGGAAAGAAGAATCAGTGATGTACAGTTAAACACCAAAAAACATTTAAATTCTCATTTCTGCCTCTGCCAAGGAAAGCTGGACCCCAACACTGATGTGAATTAGGAGGCAAGCAAAAGGTTAGAACTGACTTTCCTCACACACACGAGAGGAGATCTGACCTCCACTGCCTCCAAGGACCAGCTCTCATCCCACTTCAATATCCAAGACAGAGCTTTGCCTTTAAGACATTATTTTCTGCAAACTCTTTTTTTCCCTTTGCCCAAAATGCTGCCTCATTCTGCAGCCAGCAAAATATTTTTCTTGAGTGAAAAAAGGGTGGGAGGTGAGAAGCGACACCTCCCACAGAGGAGTTTTGCTTCCAGCTGGGTTATCAAAACGGGAACACGCTGCCTTTCCTACCAGCTCTGTGTAACACAGACTTTCAGGCCACCCAGTTTTGCCAAAGGCTTCAGCAATTCCCTGGGGCAGACAGGAGGTGCCCAGGTCCCTGGTGCTGCTCGCTCACCCTCGTCACTCGAGGTCTCCTGTTTGACCACGGACAGCGGGGAGCGCGTCGGGGGCTTGCCCAGCGGGTGCCGGCGGCTCTTCTTGATCTCCATCTTCATCTTGGAGAAGGCAGAAGCAGCCTGGAAAGAAGCACAACAAGCTGGATGGGCACCCCAAAGGAGGGAACAGGACAAGAGAGGCAGAGCCCCTGTCAAAGAGAGTTCCTGGATTCACACAGAAAACTTTTCTCTGCCTTTTGGCTGAACCACCGAAGCCTTCCGAGCCAGTTCCTGGAGCAGATAAAAGCCAACACCAACTCTTAGGAAGTTGGGTAAACTACAGAGTTTTCTTCAAATCAGGACAGCCTCAGAACATCTGCAAGCTGCCAATTCCATCAGCTCATGAAAAGTCTGCTCAACCACATACACAGCCGGGAACCCCGCGGAAATCGTGACTCGTGGAATCCCAGACTGGGCTGGGTTGGCAGGGACCCCAAAGCCCATCCAGTTCCACCCCTGCCACGGGGCTGCAGACCTCGAGACCAGGGGGTGCTTGCACCCAGCCTGGCCTTGGAGCTGTCCTCAGCCAGCACCACAGCCTGCGAGCCACTGTCACAGTCACACCTTCTGGAAAAATCCCTTCGCCCAGGATTTCTCTCCTGGGAAGCTGAGAAGCCACAGAGAAAAAGGAAAACAATATGATCTCATTGCTTCTCCTGTGTTGTGCTGCTTTGGAATGTGTTTGGAGATTGTTTACCAACAGGTGATTGTTTCATTGGGTTCATGTGAATTGTTTTGACTTATTGGCCAAGCTGTGTCGGGGCTCGGGAATGAGTCACGAGTTTTCATTATTATCTTGTTACCCTTCTGTAAGTATCCTTTCTGTATCCTTCAGTATAGTTTAGTATCGTAAAATAACAAATTAGCCTTGAAGAACACGGAGTCAGACCCACCATTCCCCCCGGCACACCGTAACTGACCTCGGCGGCGAGCGGGGCGCGCTCGGCCTCGGCGCCGTCCTGCTCCTTGCCGGGGCCCTGCGGCGGGCCCTGCTCGCGCCAGCCCAGCCCCTTCTGCGTGGCGAACTGCTCGAAGGCCTGCTGGCAGGACATGTGCTCCTTGTCGAACACCACCTTCTTGCTGCGGGGCACCACGTACAGCATGGGGATGATGGGCCGCGGCTTGAAGTCGTCCTCCTCGGCCGGCGCCTCCGAGGGCTGCACCACGTTCAGCGCGGCCGCGGGCCGGCCCTGCTCCGCGCCCGGGGCCGAGGGGGGCCCCGGCGGCCGTGCCGGGCCCGGGCCGGCCTCGGGACAGGGCTGGGGGGCCGGGACGGGCCCCGGGGGCGGCCCCGGCGGCTGAGGGGGGAACGGCTGCTTCTTCTTCCGCTCGCCCTTGGCCTTGGCGGGCCGCGCCTTGGCCTTGCACTCGCCTGCTGGAGAGAAAGGCGACGCTGAGCCCCGCGCCACGTTCTGGGAACGCAGCGATTCCCTCCCTCCTCGGAGCTCCGTGCTGGCCTAGCACAGTCTGTCATGGAATTCAGCATTTCCCTCCCTCCTCGGAGCTCCGTGCTGGCCTAGCACAGTCTGTCATGGAATTCAGCATTTCCCTCCCTCCTCGGAGCTCCGTGCTGGCCTAGCACAGTCTGTCATGGAATTCAGCATTTCCCTCCCTCCTCGGAGCTCCGTGCTGGGCTAGCACAGTCTGTCATGGAATTACTGCCTTCTCTCCCTTCCCAGAGGTCCATGCTGGGCTAGCACATTCCACCATGGAATTACTGCTTTCTCTTCCCAGAGGTCCATGCTGGGCTAGCACATTCCACCATGGAATCCAGCATTTACTTCCCTTCCCAGAGCTCCTCTCTTGGCCAGCACGTTCCACTATGAAAATACTGCTTTCTCTTCTCAGAGCTCTGTGCTGGGCTAGCACATTCCATCATGGAATTACACTGCCTTCTCTCCCTTCCCAGAGCTCCATTCTGGCCTAGCACATTCCATCATGGAATTACTGCTTTCTCTTCCCAGAGGTCCATGCTGGGCTAGCACATTCCACCATGGAATTCAGCATTTACTTCCCTTCCCAGAGCTCCTCTCTTGGCCAGCACATTCCACCATGGAATTACTGCTTTCCAACGGGTGCTCTGAAAGCTGCACACACTCAGCTGTGCCTCAGCACTGACCTAGAGAAGCCACTTCAGAAGGAAAATACTTGTGTCATTTCTATGGACTGTTAAACTCCTGACTGGAACACAAAGGCTGCTAAAAGCAACGTTTCCTGGAGGGAAGATATCTAAATCCCTAGGAAACTGGACACTGTGCCAAAAATCTGTAATATGTCACATTAGCCATGACTCTGTGCTCCAAGTTTTTTGTCCTCCAAAGCCAGGGGCACAAAACCATCCACTGGGGTGCAGGAATGAAATATTTTTGTACCATTAATAAAATAAATATTTGAAACAGTATTTTTTTTATCTTTATGCCTTCCTTTTCTAATCTCTGTTTTTCTGTATATTCATATTAGCACAGAAGTGCACGTGTACATGTGTATTTCTGTGCTACATATGAATAAATGTGTATATAAATAAAGACATACATCAGGAGGTGTGCTCAGATTTTTTTTTTTTTTGCTGATAAGGAGGTGCAATCAAGAGTTTGGAGACCCCCCATTCTCTATCAGTAGTTTGCTGCTCCCTGTGTTTACAAGCACAGCTCTTATCTGGGTATTACTGTGTGTCAACGCACCCAACAGCCCCAGGAAATGAAGAACTGAAAAAAGACACTTGAATCATTATTACCCAAAGATTTCTGCTATCAAGCTTTTTTAAAAAATGCTTTTAAAGCATAAATCAGGTGCAGCACAGAGCTCAGCTGGATCCTGAGATATCCTTTACTCACAGCCATGTCCTTGTTTCTCCCAGCCCACTGTCACTCAGTTTATCTGCACAGCCCTGTGGATGTGACACTTCTTGAGCAGATAAACATCTCACTATTGTCACCAGAGGCAGAACTGCCCCGTGAGAGTTTCCCCACCTCTCCTCCCTGTGAAGGGATTCACACACTCCCATTTTACAGCAGGGATTAGAATTCCTCCTCTCCACTGAGGGGGAGTCTCCAGGCTGGGACCATCAGGGACAGCTGCTCACCCCAGGGAAGAAGTTCCACCAACCCCAACCCACCCAGACCCCTCCACTTCAGGCTACACCAAACCTGACCAGCCCAACCCATGAATGGAAAACCAAAACAACCATCACACAATGGAGGTTTCTGCATGAAGAAGGGTGAATAATCCCACAATAGGATAAAGTGCCAAAATCCCTGCTCAAATCCCCTAGGGATCACCTTAACCCCAGCATTCCCCAGAAGCCTGATCACTTTATTTACAATTCACACTAACTTACAAAAATGGGAACAAGTCCAGCTCCAATAATTATAGTTGTACTCATGTAGGCAGTCCCTCAGATAAACTGGTTTGTTCTATCACAGAGAAAGGAATATTGAATTTCCTTAGAGAAACAAACATATTGAATGAAAGGCAAATTGGATTTCTCCCCAGTTGCACAAAACCAGATCATATTTACTCTCTATACACTCCAAGAATTCTCTCCCCAACAGCACCACAAATGCCATTCACCAGCTTTATTGACTTCTAAAGGGTAATTTGACAGCAGCTGGCACTGAGAACTGTGCTTGAAAGTTTTTGCATTAAGATGAACAAACGAGTTTGCAAGTGAATCTATGGAATCAGAAGCCAGGAAAAAGGAGGAAAAATTCCAAGAGCCTATCTGGCTATCCTGAACTCTTCCAGGAAGGAAAAGGATCTGAAGGCACACATGCACAGGTGGGTTAACAGAGGAATGTCTTTCCTGCCCCTGCACTGCAGGAGGATGGCAGCTGTGGGTGGGACACAGGAACTGCAGGTGACACAAGGTGACACAAGGAACACGAGTGGCAGTGCTGTGCTGCCTGCCCAGGGACAATCTGAGTCCTCAGCAGAGCTCAGGGAACTGAGGAGCAGCTGAGGGAGCTGGGAGGGGGCTCAGCTGGAGCACAGGAGGCTCAGGGGGACCTTGTGGCTCTGCACAGCTCCTGCCAGGAGGGGACAGCCAGGGGGTCGGGCTCTGCTCCAGGGAACAGGGACAGGAGGGAACAGCTCACACTGCACCAGGGGAGGGTCAGGCTGGACACCAGCAGGAATTCCTCCCTGGAAAGGGAGGGAAAGCTTGGAAGGGGCTGCCAGGGAGGTTTGGAGCCCCAGCCCTGCAGGTGGCACTCAGGTTTGCAGTTCCCCTGCTGACTCACCAGAGGATTTCTGCTGCTCAGCATGCCCAGACAAGGGCAAAGCCTCAACACTCTCCTTCCTAACTTCCCAAGACAACCTGCTAAAATTCTAAATATATTAATAGCAACATAATAAATTATGAATATAAAGCTGAGTCATAAAAACCAAAAGTAAACACCATAAGGGATCTGGGTCAGAAATCCTGAAAACCTCGAGTTATAAATACTCAGCTTGTCCAAATAACCAAGACAAAGCACAAGACCTACTTTGGAACCATGACTACTTTGAAATCTCATGCTTTCTCCTCAAGGTCATGTCTTCTGGTGTAATAGAAAATGAAGTCAAATTAAAACCAGGAAAATAAAGAAAGGAAGTGCAGGAGGGGGTGGGAGCAGAATTACCACAAGCAGGGCCATCCAAACAGATGCTGTTTTCTTCTTCAGGATGAAACCCTAAGACACTGGTGAGAGGCAATGCAGACAGCAGCATGTGGAAAACTAGAGAAGCCATTGGGATTTAATTGCTGTATTGCAGTAGGAAAGCTGAACATTTGCAAGCAGCCACACCAAGCTGGAGTTTGCTCCAGTGGCACTTCTGCAATGGTGCTGAAAATGAGCTTTTCCCTCCTGAGCCAACAGCTACAGAGCTCTTAAGAAGTAGTGGAAGTGTATGATTTGGAAGGCATTCAGCTAGAACAGAGTTTTTATTATTCCTTGGCCATTCTAATGATCTCAGATCTGTCCTTGTCACTTATCTCTCGTCTCTGAAGAAAAATCAGCATTTTCAGGCCATTTATTACAAGCATCAAGTGTTAAACTTGTACAAGAGCTAAGAGCAGACAATTTAACACACTGCTGATGCTCTCAAGCTTAGGGCAATAGAAATTAAGTATCTGCACTGTGCAACAATGGTTTTCCAACTCCTTATTTCCCACAAAAAGAGAAAATACACTGTCTAGCTGAGAGACTGAACAAAGCCCTCATTCCTCTTCCCTGAGCTTCCACAGATTTCCTTTATGATCATTATCGAGGTTCTCTAAACAGTTTGCAGCATCAGTTTTTCCAAATGCTAAACAAATAATGGATATATACAATAGATGTAAATTAACTCCCTGCAAGCAGTGCTGGAGAGGCCTCAGAGAGGGAGTGAGTGTGTCACAGACACAAAAACCACTTCACCACACATCAGGGGGGAAAAAGCAGATTTTTCCCAGCAAGAACTCCAACCTTTTCTACACAGCCAAGAAAAAGGTGCCACAGAAAGAGCCCCCTGCACAGAGGGTGTGCCCAGGCCTGGGGACTGGATGTGCAGAAGGAATCCCAAAGGACTGGGAGCTGTCATGGCCTGCTTTTATTTCCAGCAAAGGTTTTATATTTCATGCAGAGGAAGCTGAAAAGCTTCCCTGCTCCAGCTAAACTTGAAGAAACCCAAGTGGGACTCGTGCAGCAGCTGTGGATCCCACCCAAACTGAGCTCTCTGGATTCAGTCTCTGAAAAATGGGAACAAAGGGAGGGGAAGAGGAAATGAATTGCACAAGGCAGTGCACAAATCATTCTTTTTCAGAGCAGGACACAAAAATACATCTATTTGTTTCTCTATGAAATACTTTAAAATATTCCTCACATAATATATATTTTTTACAATCCTGTAATAGTTTGAGCCTCTAGAATTTTCAAGCCCTGCCAAAAAAGCTATTTGGATTGAATCCTTAAAGGGAGGCAAAAATCAATTGCTGCTGTGGATGATGACATATTTCAGTGAGTTTTTAATACTGGGGAAAACTCTGCTGATATCTCAACAGAAATCAACAGCAGCAGACAAGTTATTCACAGAGGTGTTTTAGAGCTCCTCACTGCTCTGGCCTCACCTTCTCCCTCCGGCCCTTTGCCTCTCTCCTCTTCCTCCAGATCCGGCCCCCTTTTCAGCTCCTCTTTTACTTTCACATCTTCCAAGGCAGTTTCAATAGCCATGACATCCCCAAGAGACTTCTGATCCTCTGTTTTGTGTCTTCTGGGCTGACTCCTTTTTCGGTGAGACCTGAAAGCACAGAAGTGTGATTTGACATAAAAGAACAGCCTTCAAAATAGAAAACCATCACTGACTTAAAAAGCTGAATAAAAAACAAAAGGATCTTCTTTGGAGAGAAAACACAAGGTAGCTAAAATAGCTACAGGGCAAAAGAGATATCTGAAAGGGAGCAGATGAACCTTGCATAACACAACATTTAAGATCCATTCACAGCAGCCATTAATTGCCTGGGTTTCCTGAAGAGCTTTTTCCTACCATTACTAATGTAAGCTCACAAGCTGCAGTTAAAGTGATTTTAATTGTGTTTTCAATCTATTTCGCTTGTATTTCAAAATACAGATGAAAACTTGTTTAAATCTCTCTTTCATCCTCTGCCTCCATTCCATTATTTCTTTTCATTCTGTCCGTGCCTCCCTTTGGCAAACTGCTGGAAGTCTGCAAAACATCATCTTCCAGCTCTGAGACATTACCCAGCACTGCCAGTTCCCAAAAACACACAGTAATGAATGCTCACAGCAAAATCAACAGGCAGTCTATGATTTTTCACCAGTAAATTCAGAAGGTCCAAGGCCTTGAAGAAATCTAACTAAAAAATATGCATATTAATAAGAACAGACAAATACTAACGAGGCAATAGCAATGCTGTTCATTCTTCTTAAAGTCAATGCCACTAAGGAGCCACAATGCAAAGAGAAATGGAAATTCAGAAGTCAGAACAAGATTTTTGGGTTGGGAATTGTACCCTCACAGACACTCCCCACTGCTCAGGAGGGACAGGGAGGGAAAACTGCAAGAACAAGAGCCAGGAAGTTGTAAGTCAAGACAAATGCAGTTTAACAGATGAAGAAAAGAATTAAGAAAGAAAGAAAGAGGCCCAGGAAATCCACTCACCACCTCCCCAGGCAGAGCAATGCCCAGCCAGTCCCCAAGAACAGCACCTCAGAAGCCAAACCCCTCCTTCCTCCTCTCCCCCAGTTTTTATTGCTCCCCATAACATTTTATGGCACAGAATTTCCCCCTGGCCACTCGGGGCCAGCTGGGTCCCTTCTCAGCCACCCCCAGGGTCCCACTGGGCCACAGTGGGACAAGATAAAGCTTTGACACTGTGCAAGCAACAGGCAAAACTTCAGAGCTTTGTGAGCACTGGTGCAGCCCCAAATCCCAGTCACTCCATCCCAGCCAGCCCCAGCACAGGGCTTTGCAGAATCTGCAGAACTGCTTCTTGAATTTCACATTTAAATCTAACAAGCCCTCCTTTTCCAAAAGGACTGATTCAGAACCTTGCGATTTTTACCCCATTTTTAGCATGTAGACACTTCTTCTTTGGTTGAAAGCTGCATTTTCCTTATGGCCTCACATCCATCATCATGTGACAAAACTAAAACACACTTTACTCATCAGTCCCAAAGTCTAGAAAAGCTAAAAAGCAGCTCCCCATCCTCAGAGCCCAGAAAACTCAGCTGCTAATTACATTTGGAGCACAACAGAGTTAAAGAGCCCTAAATCAGCCTTTAAACTGACAAAGAAGGGAGAAAAAAATTCAACCTGGGATGAATGATGAATAGGAAAGCAAGTTGATCCATATGCACAGGGAGCTCTAATTGCCAGACTCTGAGCAGATGGTGGCCCCAAGAAGAGCTGGTGCCTTCACACCTGCAGGACAGTCATTAGCAGGGCTGAGCCCAGAAGGATCAGCTCTGCTCTTCACCCGTGTTCCAAGAACACACCACCTTCCCTGGCAGGGGAGTGGAGGGTGGGAGGTGGAGATAAAGCTGTAAGACTTTGCCACTGCAGCTGGAATGTTCTGTAGCCGAAGGAGGAGTAGAGTCAAGTGCTACAAGCTGGTTTTAGCAAAGTGTGTTTTATTCCTGTGGTGTGGAAGTGCCAGGCAAAAATTACAGCACAGAGCTTTATACTCACAGGAGGGAAAAAAAAAGATCTGTTTTGCAGCGCTCTTCTCACTCAGGGGTTGTGGGGGAGAGAGGCAGAAAGCTCAGCATTTAAAGAAAGTGCTTCCAGAACTACAGGCTGAAGGCTGAGCACTTCCAGAAGTGAAGCTGTTCTGTGTCTGACAGAATTCACACACCAGAAATGAAATGGGGACTGGACTAAAACTGTCTCTTGCTGAAGCCATAAAGTAAACAAAGTTGGGTTTTTTAAGGTAACCAAGTCTGACTGACCTTAGAGAAGAAATAACACCTTCTGCAGAGTTTAAAAGCTCCATTTTTCCAAGAGAGCTGACAAAAAAGCAGCGTTTGTACTCTTTGAAGAACAGACCACAAAGTGACTTAAATTAAGTAGCTACAACTGTGAAGGTTTGGGCAGAGGTGAATCCCATCCCTCCATCCTGCTGAGAAAAGTCAGGCTTCAAGTAAAACGATGTCTTGGAAAGACATAAGCACAGGAGAAAGTACAGCTAAGGAGTACTGAACAGCTTCAAAACTGCTCCAGGATAACGCTGGAATAATCCAGGAAACACTGAACAGATAAGCAAAAAAGTACCTGGATCTTTTGCAATAGGCTCAGGCTGAGAGAGGCTTCTCTGCTGGGTAATAGGCTCAGGGAGGGAAAATAATCCTTGGTGTTCATACAGTACCTTACCCTGCACACATCAGCTCCACCAGGAACCCTGAGCAGCCACAAAACTGCAAAAAAAGGGAGTGAGCAGCTCCCTTTCCCCAGCCCCAGCTACAGCACACATCCCTGCCAGCCCAGGAGAGCAGCTCGAGAGCCATGAGACAGTTGAGGTTCTCCAGTGATGGAGATCACAGAAATCCAAACCAAGATGAAACCTGAGGAACCTCAAGGCCTGAAGATTTCCTGGGGGCTTTCACAAAAAACTCAGTGAGTGAGGAAGAGTCCCAGAGCTGCTGTTTAAGAAACTTGCCAGGAAAAAGAATGAAGGGACTGACGTTGCTGAGGGAAGTCACATACCGGTGTTTGCTGTCCTCTTCCTCATCTCCTATCCTATAAAGCAAGATTCCAACAGGAAAAGGTTAGCATGCCAAATTTTCAATTCAAGCATGCTGTAACACACAAAAATCACAGACTTGTAGAAAATTAATACAAAGATCAAAGGAAGCACAGAAAGGCATGCACAAAATCCCCTTTGCAACTGATGGGCTTTTTTAAACTCCTGCTTTCTGATCAGTGAAGCTCTAAATGTTCACTACAGATATTTTTTGTCTTCCAGGATAAGAGATGAGATTTGAGGGAGCACAAAGTGTCCCACTTTGAAAAGCACGTGCTTTTATAACGTGGGAAGGAAACAGGAGCACGAGGGACACATTACCCAGACAAACAGCACGAGGAACTGCACGAAAAGAACAAAGGAAGAAAACAAAAGAGTCTGAACTATCTCCAGTGGAGAAGGCAGCATTTACAACGCGAGCAGCTCACTCCAGGGCGGGCTCCCACCCCCTCTGTGCTTACCTGCGGAGCAGCTTCGCCTTCAGCTCTGCCTTGGTCTCGTTCCAGGCGTCGAGCTCGGGGCTGCTCAGGGCCGTGGGCTTCATGTGGTCCAGCACGGCGATGTCCTTGCCCTGCTTCCAGAGCTCGTAGCGCTCGGGCTGCAGCACCCTGACAAACACGTCCATGGAGATCTTCACCATGTCCTTGCGGCACGTGCACTGCAAGAGAGCACGCAGGTGACAGGGCCCAGGGGACAGCTGCTCCCCCCACCCCGGCTGCAGGGGGGTCCTGCAGGGGGGCACGGCTGGCAGTGCCTCGTGTGACAAATGCGTGGTTATGATCGGCTTTTCGCAAGTGTTAAAATGAATATTGTGTGTGTTATGTCAGAAAGTTATGCTGTATGATATTACCATTTTTATAACCATTTTATTACTATTAAACTTTTTAAAATTTTAAGAACAAGTGATCGGTGTTTTTCACACCTTGGCTCTGCTGCTCCTGGGGAACCAGCTGCCACTCCAGCACTCTCCAAGGCTGCTGCAAAACTCTTCCCCAAGGATTTTGTTCTCCCTCTAAGCCCCCCAACAAGACAAAGCCTGCTGGGACTGGCGCTGCTCGAGTCCTGTGCTGCAGGCATCAGACACAATTACTCTGTCTGGTCCAGCCCAGGTCAGAGTCTGCCCTCAAGCCCATTTCCCTCCATCAGCCTCTCTCTGGCAGAGTTTTCCAGGCTGAAAAGGTATTATTGGTACCACTTCATAGCTCAGAAAAGCCTTACAGGAGCCAAAGCCTGACCTGGAGCACAGGGCAGTTAAACTTCATAATGATACATCCTGACATGGCACAGCAGTCCTGCACAAAAGGGAAGAAACAAAAACCCTGCAGTAACTACAACCTGCATCCAAACCATTAGGTGGGAGAAAGTGTGCTTTATTCATTTCAGCTGGCATATGCTCATTAAAACCAACCTGGAGTTACACCCCTGCCATTGCACAGAGAGCACTCTCAGGTGGTTTTCCTTGGATGTATCCCTTTGCTCTGAGGAATGAACAGACTGAGTGCAGCAAGAGGATTCTCACCCTGGGCACTGATGTCAGTCTCAGACAGCCTTTATAAACTTCATCAGAAGAAGGCAGAGGATGGAGAAGGACCCAGAACTCCCCAGGTGCCTCTGGGGGCTGCAGCCACAGCTCTCTTGGGGGTTCTGCTCTCAGGTGCAAAGCTTTGCTTGCACTTAAATTGCTTTTCAACTCCAGGCTGAGGCTGAGGTAATTGGAGCCACTTTGCAGGATTGATTTGGGGTTTTTTCCACCCTTCCTTCACACCTTTTCAAAACCATTCTATCCATTCTTTTGGCAGAAGTGCCTAAATTAAACCTGCTTCTCCCCTTTCTCCCTTCCCTTTTCACCACCATCACTAAATAATTTATAGCCATAGCTGAGAATTCACTGACAGAGGCAGAGAGAAGAGTCCTTCTGCACAGTTCTCCACCACCCCACATCCTCCAGCTCCTGTTTCTCACCGTGCAGGGGCTGGGGCAGTGCACAACCCCAGTGTGCTGAGTGGGAAGGAGCATTTATGGACAGGCACTTTCAGGAAAACTCCATTTAATGAAAACCAGCTGAGGCCAGAAAGGCTGGAAATGCAATTTGGCCACAGCAAGGCAGGAACACAGAGGGCACCCAAGTTTCCAACCCCGGCCCAGGCAGGAGCTTCCCAGGGCACCTCCACCAGCCCTGGCCTCAGGGACTGAGCAGATTTTCCTTAAGAAAGTTTAAAAGCACCTGGGCAGAGCTACAAAGAGGAGCACAGAAGAGCATCCCCAGCACAGCTCTGGGGACTGACCTCCCCAGAGGCTGAAAAATGGCTCCAAAGGGGAGCTCTGCCTTTGGTGATCCTGACCTGGACCCAAGAGTGCAGCACAGACACCCCCACACCCTCAAATCTGCCAGCACAGCCCGAGGCACTCAGGGCCAGAGGTCTCCAGAGCAGTTTCCAGCCCCCAGCAGCTCCAGAGGCTCCCCCAGGTGCAGAAGAAGCTTCCCCCAGGTGCAGAAGAAGCCTCCCCCAGGTGCAGAAGCCCAGGCTGAGCCCAGGGATGCTGCTGGGCTGGACTCAGCACTGGCACTGTGGCCTCCACATCCCACAGCAGCCCAGCTCCTTTCTGTCCATAAATCTACCATGATGCATGTTTATATTTCAATTTAAATTTAATTCTATTGCTTTCACAGCAGCCAGCATGAATAATTTGCAAAGCCCCTTTCCTCTGGGCTCCTTCTGGCCGTGCAGTGCAGTTGTGTCACAGCCACACTCCCAGCAAGGCCAGGACATTTTTCCATACCCCTCCCTCAGACAGCAGTGGGATCCTGCTGATGCTTCCAGCAGCTGGAAAAGGGAATGTTCTTGTGTGTGTGAGAGAGGTGGAGAGGGAGAATGGGGCAGAGCAGGAGGAGAGGGAGGGTGGAGAAGGGTGAGGAACTGCCTTTGCAATCCAGTCCAGCAGGACAGAAGCAGCAAGGTTGTTTCCTGGCAATGATCTCCAGTCCCACACCCTGCCTTCCCCCTTCCACACACACAGAGCTGCATTGCTTTCAAAGAGTTTCACTGTGGTCATAAACAATGTATTTCCTAGAAGACATTATGCCTACACCCCCATCTCTGTCTCTCCCTACCCCAATTTCTGCAGAATATATCCTCCCAAATTCCCTCCAATTCTAACACTTTTATATTCCACTATCATTAAACTTTATAGAAAAAAAAAATGAACATGTCAACACTCAAACACCACCAGTAAGGAGAGATCTGAAACCTCATTTCCTTTACATGAGGCAAAACTGAACCACAAAGCTCCAGTCAGGGAATTCACAGAATTCCTAGGGATCACCAGCCCTGAGAAGGATTTCAGGGTGATGGGATCACCCAAAGCACAGGACTGAATGGCAACACGAACGTTTTGTCCAAATCCCAGGAGCCCTGAGATCCCCTCTCCCCCCCCCAGGCTGGCCAGACCCCCCCAGGGAGCAGCAGGGCCACAGATCAAACACCAGAACAAACACAGGATATTCACCACTGCCACCTCCAAGGACCACTGCAAGTCCTGAACATGGAATGGGAACAAACCAAGCCAAAAATCCACAGCTTTAGGGTCAGTGCTGTGCCTTCAGTCACAGGGGAGCTGAGACCCAAAAGAGCAACAGGAGAGGAGTTTCCACATTCACCAAATCTGCAGGAACTTCACTTATTCCGCCTTCTGAAGGCTTTTCCCAGCCTCACCTCTCCCTTTCCATAAGTTAATGGTTTTATTAACTATTTTATTAAGCACATGGAAAAATACTGTAAGGAAATGCACAATTAAACCTTTTTCCAGCCTAAAACCCCAACATTCTTCCTTTCCTCATTATTTTATTAACTGCAACTCTAATTTGGGGGCTGTGGTAAAATATGTGACCACAGCAGGAGCCCTGTCCCATCAATTCCAACTCCAGGACTGATAGGGGGGAATTTGTGGCTATGGAATGTACAACCATTATCTTATTTGCAATATTTTTTAACACGAAAACACAAATAAGTCTCTATAAAATAACAGTCAAATAAAATGACTGTCTCCTTGAAGTCATAAAACCAAATGATTTATGGACAAGTGCAGACTCATTCAACTTCAACCTTCAGCAACAGTGAGGATATTTCCCTCAATTCCCAACTATTAACACTGAACTGAACCTCAGCAGTTCCATCAAGGAAAGGCTAATGGAAAAGAAACCTTTTCCTTATGCAGAAATAGTCACCAAAATTACACATTTAAAGTGGCACTGCTGGTTTGCATGGACAAAACCCTTCACATTCAGATGAAAGCAGCTGGTAAGACTCAGCTGAGCCTCCCACTTTGGAAATTTATCCATCACAAAACCCAACATGCTCGAAATTGAAGCTCTTTCAGCTTTTAAATGCCAGACCAAAATCTTTGCTTAAAGCCTTTCTACCTGCTTTCTGACAAAAACGAAGGCAAAAGCAAGTTCCTGGAAGGAGGGGTGGTTCTGGGACAGGGCAGCAGAGGAACCCTGGCTGGCACAGAGCACAGAAAACAGCTCAGCCTCTCGCTGGGCACTCCCAGCACCAAGCAGAGCTCCAGCTCGGGGAGGAAGAAGCCCCCAGCACCACCAGGGCTTGCAAGCAGCAATCCAGCGTGTTCCCATGTCACAGCTGTGCCACTGGCATCCCCCAGCACAGCAGAACCAGCCTGGGCTCCAGGTTCCTTCTCCTGGGCTCAGGCAGTCCAGGCAAGCTCCTGAGAGATGGACGGCAGCGATTCTGTGAGGAAGAGGAGCTGGGCCCCGGGGAGGGGGAGAAGCACAGTCTGTGTGTTCAGTGGCTGTGCCTGGAAGCTCGTGGGGAGGAAGATGAGCCTTGACCCCCCCGTCTGCAGAGTAATTAGCGGTATCGACAGCAAAGCAGCTCATTAGCAAAGCTCCTGGAAACCCTTCCCGGAGCTCCACAAACACAACAATCAGGGAAGATTCCCATGGAGTGCAGGGCACCATTCCTGCCTGCCCCAGAGCCCCCTCCCTGCACACACAGCATTCTGGGGGCAGCCCCAGCCGGGGTAAAAGTAATCAATAAATGAAATGAATCGATCAATAACCCAGGCCAACAGCCAGAAGGAGCTGGAGGCACTGATCCCCCCGGGACAGGCAGCCAGCCCAGCACTGGAACCTGCAAACCCCAGCAAATCCGGGCTTCGTTCTGCTCACAGAGCCACACCTGGGTTTATTCAGCAACAAAAGTCGTGCCCAGAACCTCCCAGCCACAACTTCGGGAGAGGAGCCTGGAAAAGAGCTGAAAAAACAAAGCTTCCAGAGAGTTCCCAAAAAATAACCATTCCCTTTCCACCTCAGCACGAAAAAAAAGCTGCAAAAGTTCCTTTTTCTTGCACAGAATCAAGAGCATTAGGGGTGTTTACAAATATTACAAGAAAATAAGTATGAAGAAAGGTGGAAGAATTTGTACAAGAGCAATTTTGAATCTGTCTGACGAAAATAAACCATGGAAATGTTATTCCATAATAGATTTCTTTAATGTATTCTAAGCTTAAAAGGTCTAATTAGAGTAAAAGAGCAATTTTGAACGTCTGACAAAAATAAACTATGGAAATGCTATTTCATAATAGATTTTTTTATGTGTTCTAAGCTTAAAAAGGTCTAATTAGAGTCAGTTGAGGCATAGACACAAAGTAATGCAAAAATACAGTTCTGATTTGCCTTATTTTGGGGACCAATTTTGCAGTATTACCAAACAGGTTGCTGCAAAAACCTCACAATTTTGATTTTCTTGGGAAATACAGACACATTGAAGGGGAAAAAAAAATCTACTGAAATGTGAATAGTAAGAAGAAAGCTTCAATTTTCGCAGGAAAATGATATGCTAGACAGCATTAAACCCCAGCTATTCCGAGTGTAAATTTGAGATTATTTCTATATTACATATGCAGCACAGAAAGAAGAGTGAGCAGAAGGTTTAGAAGCAGGAAGCCACGGAGAGGATCCTAGGTGGGATCCAAAAGGTCCCTTCTCTTGGCAGACCAGGAAAGCCAAGGAAGTTTTCCCTGTGCCCCTCCCAGAGCTGCCTGGGATGAGGGGAAAGCTGTTTTAGTTCAGAGCCCAACATGCAGCACTCGGGCAGGAGGGGCAGCCTGAGCCCGTTTTATGCCGAGAGAGAGAATTCCAGCAGTTTTTGTGGAGTAAACAGGAGATGCAGGAAGGGAAGTGGCAGCCAGCAGGACCCCAGACCCTCTCCAGGAGTGGCTGCACTTCATGGAAGGGAAAGTGCAGAAATTGTTCCACTCCCACCCACTTATTTTCAGTCCAGTTTGCCAAAGAAATAGAAAAGCTGAGCTGGGATTTGAATTTCTGCTAAATCTCTGCACTCTGAAAGGGTCTCTGAATAGCAGGAGGCTCAGAGGCCACCTCAGCTACAGGGAGGGCATTTCCTGAAGCCCCTGGTTTAAAAGGGCTCTTTGGGCAAAGACACAGCTGCTAAAATCCTCTGGTGCTGGCATCCAAGGGTTTACAGAAACAAAAAACCAGGAGTGCAGGCAGGAACTGCAGGGTCGTGGTGCAAAATAAAAAGAAATTTAATAAAAAAGATGGTAAGGAATGAAAATTATAATTTCCTGGCTTTCACTCAGCAGCTTTTTTCAACAACCAAACAGAAAAAAAATATGACAAATGGAAGACAAATGACTGAGGAACTCCAGCTACAGGGAACAAAGGGAAATATTTCTCCCTAATTCCTAAGCTCTGCCTATGCAGGCAAACATTAACTGTAGTTTATACAAATAAACCATCCCTCAGCTGAATCAGGAATGCTGAAGTCCAAAGCAAATATTTGGATTACAGCTGACTCTGAAACACTGTGCCAGGATCTCCAAGGCTGTGCAAAGCCCTCTGAGCTCCTTTCTCTGGGTGTCCTCGTGCTGAGCCCTGTGCCAGTGACAGCCAGCTGCCAAGGAGCATCCCTGCCCGGGCTCTGCAGAGCTCTGCGTGCTGCACGGGCCCCCAGCAGGGCTGGGAGGGGCACATGGACCATCCCTGCAGGATCAGCTGCAGGTCTCTGCCATCCCTGAAGGTGCAAGGGGGGAGCTGGGCTGGCCTCAGCCCACCCTGGCTGTCCCTGGGAGGGACTGAGCTGCAGCAGAGGCTCCTCCAGCCCACGGGGACACAGCAGCACATGCAGAGCTGCTAAAAGCTGCTCTTCCTTCTGGGCCACTGTCCAGGGGACATCCACCTCCCACTGGGGCACCCTCCAGGCTGGGAAGGATCCAGACCCTTCCTCTGGAGCTGACCCTGGCTCAGAGCACAGAGAAGCAGCCCTGGAGATTTCTGCACATCACAAAACACAGTTTGTGGAATTTGTCTGTCACAAACCACACCCAGCACTGTGGCTGGAGGAGCAATTAGCAGGAGGATCAGCAAATCAGACCCAAGGGGCAAAAGCATCTGTTCTAGCTAAAAACCCGAGGAGAGAAAGACTTCATGTTCTCAAAAAGCTTTGAACCAAGCAGGACAGCTCAGATTATTCACTTGGTATTCACCAAACCAATTTCCACTGGAATTCTGAGGATCTGCCCATCCTGGCTACTCATTTACAGATACAAGTGGATTTACCCACTGATAGTTTCCCACACTACTCTGCAGCCATTGCTATTTTTTTTATTTTTTTTTTTTTCTAATCCTGACACTTGTTCTACAATTAGAGCAGGACCAGTGTCTCAGCAGTTGATCTTTACACTCCAGGCTGGTGATTCTGTGTTTTTTACAGGCCAGGCAGGTTCTCTGTGGGATGCAGAACATTGCACCCATCTGGCAGGCAATTAGCACAGCTCTGCTCTCCGAGGTGAACCATCACCTTCCTCTCCTGCACTGCAGCACTGACACACAGCTCCCAGCAGAAGCCACATCTCCTCCCCAGAATAATGTCCAGGAGAGCATTACAACTGGCTAATTATGAACCTTGCCTTGTCCCCATTCTCCTGAGGGCAGGCAGGACAAGAAGCTGTGCTGGCAGCCCAAGGAAGGAGGGGATCACCCCAGGCAGGGGTCACTGCAGGAGCAGCAGTGCCTGCAGAGCTTTGCCCAGCTCAGACTTCCCAAGAACTTCTATAAATGAGTATATGGTAAGGAAAAAAAAAACCCAACCTGCCTGCATGTGAGCAAGGATAATCTAATTGTGCCTGGGAGCACATAAATCAATGAAGCCGTGTTTGAAATACAGGAAAGCTGTAGTGTTAACTAAAAATCACAAACTCGGGAATGGTGTGGGTTGGGAGGGACCTGAAATCTCATCTCACCTCACCCCTGCCATGGCAGGGACTCCTTCCACTGCCTGGAATGCCCAGCCTGGCCCTGGGCACTGCCAGGGATCAGGGGCAGCCCCAGCTGCTCTGGGCACTGTGCCAGGGCTGCCCGCCCTGCCAGGGAGGGATTTCCTCCTGCTGTCTCTCCAGGAATTCTCTCCCCACAGAGGCGAGGCAGCTCCCAGTGCACACCCTGACCACTCCTTAGGTCCCTGCTTAACCTCAAATGAGATTTAAACAAAGCTTTGTCCTCACAGTGTAACAAACTCCCCCTCAGCTGGGACCCCAGCCAGGCACCCCAGGTTAATTAACACCTGCTTTGGAGCAGAATGAACCAGGAGGCTCAGAACAGACAAGTGCCACGGAGTGCAACGGGAATAAATTGGGCATCTCCTTCCACACTTCCACTTTGTGTCCCCAGATCTGCTCCTGCTCTGCTGCTGCTTGTTCAGTAATTTCACGCTACGCTGCCTAACAATGTAAGCATGGAGGCTCCATCTAAAACTGCACTTCCCAAATGTCACTTGTTTGTGAACACATGGCTGAACCCAAAATTGCTTTTAATATTCGAGTGGTGCCTGCTGGCTCTGTTGTAGTTAAGGGTCTGTCTGAATTTCCATGATAAACCCCATTTTCTGGGGTGTAATACCATGACCACTCACTACACAAACACCTGCTTTACAAGGTCACAGCAGACAAACACCACTTTTTACATTTCTAAACCAAGACTGCTTGGCTATTTTTGAGTTTCAGACACCTGACACTGATTTGAGGTCTCTTACAGTTTAAGGTTTTTCTTACCATCCCTTAACTCCAGAACAAATCCAAATGTCTGACCCATCCCTGGAAGTGTCCAAGGCCAGGCTGGACAGGGCCTGGAGCAAGCTGGGATGGTGGAAGGTGTCCCTGCCCATGGCAAAACTTCCCAGATTCTGCTGAATGAGCTTTGCTGGTCAGTTATTCTGCAGACTTCAAATCAGGAGAGCTGCCACAAACCAGAGTACACCAGGAATCTGCCCTAATGAGAAATAACCAGACAAACAGAACTCTCCAAACTTAACTGAGTGCACAGATTAGAGGAATTCAGGTATTTTCAGTGTTATTACCATAGTGTTATTAAAGCTCAAAAGTATTTCCAGCTTATTCCTTCCCCTCCAGTGTGTACCTAATGAGTTGTGTTCAGTTACATCAGTCACCTCATCCACTGTGAAATGCAGTTTGGATGCACCAGAAAACTAATTCCAACTTACCAAACCCAAAACAACCTGATCAGAACCTGAATGCAACACTTGAGAAAACCACTCCTGCACCCTCAGAATAAAATGGAGCTGGGGGTGCTCACCTGGAGAAAAGGAGACTCAGAGTGCCCTCCTCACTCTGCACACCTCCTGAAAGGTGCCTGTGCTCAGCTGGGGCTGGGCTCCTTCTCCAGGAGCTGACAGAGCCAGAGCACACAGCCTCAGGCTGCACCAAGGGAATACAGGTTGGATATGGGGGAAAAGTGTTTTACAGGAAGGGTGATAAAGTTCTGGAATGTTCTGCCCGGGGAGGTGGTGCAGTCACCATCCCTGGGGGTGTTTAACAAAGCCTGGATGTGGCACAGGGGGCCAGGGCTCAGCTGAGCTGCTGGGGCTGGGCTGGACTCCACAAATTATCGAGAGGCAAACCCAGCGGCGTGGGACAGCGAGAGAGCACCTCCCAGAGCAGAGGCATTTCGTGCTCTGCTCAGGAGTGGGGACACCGGGGGCACTGCAGGAGTGCCCAGCCCTGCCAGCTGCCCACCTGCGTTGCCATCTTGCCGTAGTCGATCCAGCGCAGGGTGGCGAAGTTGGTGGACTCGGCGCAGTTGAAGCCGTGATTGAAGCCAGCGTGGTACCCGTAGGGAAATGTGATCATGAACTCCCCGGCCTCCTGGGTGATCTGGAAAACACAGGAAAAAGGAGGAGACACCCCACAGGTCACTTAGTGCAGCAGCTTGAGAACAGACCCATTAAAAACCCCACTGATGAAACCTCTTCCCACTGGAGGCAGAGCAGCCATGGGCAGCTCTGGGCTGGGCTGGAACATTCCTGGTGAACTGCAGGAATACTCAAGGATTTCTCTTAAGGGAAAAACTCAGAACAGTGGATGGGAAGGGGTCCCATAACCTGAGCTATTTATACCTGCTCCAGTTACAAAGGGGTCTCAGGCTGCAACATTCCAAAAGATCAATAAATCTCTGATGCGACCACTTTGGCTCATGGCAGCTCCAAACCTTCATTCCCACCCCCAAGAGCTCTGGATTTCCCTCCTAACAGTCCCTCTGCATGGCAGGGGTGGCACTGGATGAGCTTTAATGTCCCCTTCACCACAAACCACCCTGTGACTCGACTTCAATGAAATTAAAATAACAATAAGCAGTATGGACATTATTAATAAGGGTTGAACTCTACAGATCACAGCTAGAATCAGAGGCAAATCAATCTTGATGCTTCAAAAATAAAAACCCCTTTTTATATCTTGTGCAGAAAAATCATTTGGAATAAAATAAGCTTAATTGTTAAGAGCATGGCCACAGGAGCAGCTCCCAGCCCAGCTGCCCCTCATGCAGCAGCACCTCCCCTCCACGGGGTGTGGAAGAGGCAAAGCTTGGTCTTGCCTGTCCTTCCAGCCAGCAGTGCTGACAGAGCTCTCACAGCTGCCACAGGCCCAGAATGCTGCCTGGATTCCTTCCCACAGCCACAACCCACCCCCCAGCAGCTCTGAGCCCACAGAGACTCCAGGGCACTGCGCTTCCCAACACTGAACCATGGGAGCAGCTCCCAGCCCAGTTGCCCCTCATGCAGCAGCACCTCCCCTCCACGGGGTGTGGAAGAGGCAAAGCTTGGTCTTGCCTGTCCTTCCAGCCAGCAGTGCTGACAGAGCTCTCACAGCTGCCACAGGCCCAGAATGCTGCCTGGATTCCTTCCCACAGCCACAACCCACCCCCCAGCAGCTCTGAGCCCACAGAGACTCCAGGGCACTGCGCTTCCCAACACAGGGATGGGGCCAAATGCAAAATGTAAACACACAGAAGTTCAAACACTCCTCCCTCCCTCCCTCTGAACTTGCAGATGCCATTAACACTAGAAGAATAATTGAAGAAAGAGGGAATAAAAGCTGCTGTGATACACAAGCAGCTCCTGCAGGATTTCAGCAGGAGCACCCTGCGTCATCCCCTCCACAAACCCCAGCAGTGCTACTCTGCTGGCTCCAGAGATGAAGAGATGATGTTTCTGGCAGTGAATGCACATCCTGGTGTCTCCATTTCAAGCCCACATCATCCATGGCACTGCTGTCAACATTATCCCACAATAAATTAGAAAACACTCCAGATGATGGATAGGCCATGCAGAAAAGTAATAACTATTGAAGGAAAGCCAGCACAAACTGCCACTCATGAAGAAAGCCCCAAATTTACTGACTTCTGCAAGCTCTTGAGGAATAAATGGAGAAATCAATAGGAGATTACAGAAATACACATTTTTAATTATTAAAAAGCCCTAGTATTGATCTGTTTCTTTTTTTTCCAGAACAGCATTATAGAGATTTATAAATGCTGCCTATTTCAACTTCATTGAAATCTGCCAAGGATTTGGATGAAGGGATCCTATCTCTGCTGCTCAGGACAAATGGCACTTGTCCCCTGTTTGTGAATAACACTGATCCTCCTCCAACAGCCACTGCTTCAGGACAGGGCTTGGACTTTGGGACACTGGAAGGTGTCCCTGCCCATGGCAGGGGTGGGACTGGGTGGGATTCAAGGTCCCTTCCCACGCCGTGATTCCATGAAACCATTTTGGAGCAGGCCTCTGACACTTCCCACATCCACAGGCAGCTCTGGCCTCGTGTGCTGGAACACCCAGCAGCAGCAGCAGCAGCAGCAGCAGCAGCAGCAGCAGTTTGAGTGATTCTGCACAGATACAAATCCCTGTAACCACCCCTGGCTGAGGAGATTTACTTCTTGCCACAAGACTTTAAGAATAAGCACATTAAAACGATCATACCAAATAAACATGACCCCTCTTTTCAAATCAGGGCTTAAGAGCTGCAGGGATCCTTCCAGGCTTAGAGCAGCATGAACACTTACACAACAGGGAACCAGCACAGCCAGCTCCACTTTGGGTCGCACTGGATCCATGAGAAAATAAAAAAGTGTTTCTGAGTCACCAGCAGGGTTTTGCTGCCCCTTGATGAGCCAGAACATCCTTATCAGCTTGTGCCTCTCTACCTGAGGTTCCCAAATTGCCAGAGCTTGTTCAGTGACAGCTTTTCTTCTCTCCTGTGTCTCAGCCAAAGCCCAAACCCCCCTTTTGCAGCAGAGCTGGTCTGAACCCCAGGCGGCACTCAGCACATCAATGCCCTGGAAATGAAGCCAATTTCCCCCATGGCTCTGCTGGACTGACTCCTCAGGAGAGAGGAGCTGTGCAGGACAGCCTGCAGGACCTACCCTGTCAAAGGGAATCCCATACTTCTTCAGGATGGAGGGAGAAATGAGGGTCATCTTGTGACGGAGGAAAGCATCGCATCCCTGAGAGCTTCCTGGGAAAAATCCTGTGGAGACATTCAGAGGAGGAGCATCACTACAGGACTGTCCTTGGGAAACAATTCCACATCAATCTGCCCCACACATCACTGCCTAAAGGAAAAAATGGTAATACTGAGGGAAAGGAAAGGTGTCCATCCCAGGCAGTGGCTCGAGGGACACGTTCACAGTGGTCACCAACAAGTGCAGCAGGACCTGACCCAGTCAGCACCTCAGCACCCCTAAGGGTTAAATTCTGCCACTGAGTTATTAAAACAAATCACAAATAATTAAGAAAAGTAAAACAGTGGTAAACACTGCCCACACCCCCCAAAGGCAGCTCAGCCAATGGAACCCAATTTTCCTCGTGATCATGTCTTTCCCTCCAAGTGGCTGATTCCATAACAAACTGTGTGTTTGTAGGAACTCAAACCCATCACAGCTTTGGAAAACAAATAACCCAAGCTCTGGAACCAAAACTAATTGATGAGACATAATGGAAGGGGTTTCAGAAAGTCAAAAGGATTACTGGATTCCAGGTTTACTTATATTTTTGTACTAAAAGCATTTCAATTCAAATTATGACTGTCTGCTACCCAGTCTGTCGTCCCTCTCTGCAGTTCCTCTTTTTAATGCACAGTTTAAGTGGCTCTCATTAAAGCCACTAATAAAGAAGCACATTTTAAGTGATTAGCACCAATAACATGGCAACACATTAACATTCTCTCCATGGGCTCCATGGCTCTCCCAGTGAGCCCATTTACAGCTCAGCTATTCATTTTCCATATTAATTGCACACTCATTTCTCCATGGTAAACTTCTCCCCACTGATGCACAGGACAGGGGAATGGCCAGGCAGCAATTCTGGCTCTTTGCAGAGTTAAATCATCACCCACCAAGCTTCCAGAGAGAGGAAACTAAAATAAAGACCAGATCATTGATAATTTGCTCCTGGTTTTACAGCACAAACCATCTCCATGCCTCAAAATTGATCATCCGTAAAAATTAGTTACAAACAGCAAGAAACTTATTATTGCTCCTGTCAGACTTGGAGTGGTATTTCAGAGTCTGCAGAACACAAGTCATCTGATTGATTGACTTCTTATAAAAATTACTTTTTTCACCTATTAAAGCCTGGCAAATTACTGAGCTGTGGCTTCGAAACGCAACATTTTTGAGCAGCCATTTCCAGTGGTATTTGTATTTCGGGATCATGGTGCTCAGTGCCCAGGAGAGCCCAGCCCCAGGACACTCATCCCCATCTATTCTGCATTTACCCCACACAATCAGCTGCTCCCCTTACCCTGGAGTGTGCTGAGCAGGGAAAGGCAGCACAGGAATTTGCCTGTTTTCTGGGAAATCAGCATTAGGAGTTCTTTGCTTTTGCATCAGAGCAGAACCTTCCAGATTTCCTGCCTGCTCCTACCTTCACCACCAGATTTAAACCACCCCACTTGCCTCGCTGGAGATTTGGAGCTAATTATTCTGGCCCAGCAGCTTTTTTTAGCTGGGCAGCTCCTTGAACATTTGCAAGTGAACAAAAATAGAAACAACACCAACAAATTAAAACATATCCACTTCTGCAGCCAGACATCTTCCCTGAAGCTTGAGTGGTGGGAGTTTGCCACAGCTCAAAGTAACTCTCCCTTCCCCCCACTTCCATTTTCCTTTTCTGTTTCCCTCCCTTTCATTTTTTCTTTCTTTTTAATATGAATTTTATGGCACTGAAAAATAAAGGAGGATGAGGCTAAAATAAAAGGAAAACCACCAAATACAGAATGTATTTATAGGGTAAAGGAGCAATGGCTACAAACTGTAAGAGGGGAAATTTAGGTTCAATATCAGCCAGAAAATGCCTGCTGTGAGGTGGTGAGACCCTGGAACAGGCTCTGGCTGCCCCAGCCCTGGCAGCATTCCTGGCCCAGTGCAAGGTGCCCCTGCCCACAGCAGTGAAAGGATTTTTAGGGTCCTTTCCAACCCAAACCCTTGTGGATTAAACCCAGACCTGGGAGGGTTTGGCCTCAATGCCTCAAAATCCAAGGTTTTTTTAAGGAATCTTAGCTCAGGTCAGGTTTAGCTCTGTTTAGTCCAGGTCAGGCCATGCCAGGAGCCCGAGGCTTGGAGGGAAGAGCTGGAAGGGAAACCCTGACAAGTTCTCTGGCTCTGCAGCTGCTCCCCAGCAGTCCCCAGCAGGCTCAGGGAGTGCCAGTCCTCCCTGAGCCCAGCCCAGAGCCAGGCTCACCTTTTGCCAGGCGTTCCAGCCTCTTGCCGTGCTCCGGGGGAATGGCGTACCTGGGAGGAGGGAACAGAACAGACAGAGAGCACAATGTCAGCCTTTGGTGGAAAAACAGTGAGGGGAAAGGCTAGGAACAAGAGGGGCAATAACCCTCAGCACAGCACACACGGCTGGCAATAAAACCAACATTCTGTACATCTGACAGGCGTCAGTAACACACAATCCACGGGAAAAACAGCATTGCGTGAAAGTCCCCGGACGTGTTACGTGAAGTGTGTGCTTTCCTGGCACCTCCTCAAACAGCATCACAAGATTTCACCAGGTAGAAGGAAAATGGAGAAGACAAGGTGATGATACAGCACTGGAAACCCCAGAAATAAGAGAGTGCAGGGAACAGCAGGTGTGCTCTCCATGGGGAAAATATCTGCAAAATAAAACTGTGCTAAATATTAATAAGCAAGAAACAGATGGGCTGAAAAGGTGTGAAGGAGGGTCTGTGTGCTTTGGAAAAGAATAAACCTTCTTCTGTGCAAACAGCTTTCATTTTATTCAAAAAAGTAAATATTCTTCAGCACAGCCCAAGCACTCATGGCTCAGTCCTGATGCCCCTGCTGGATTTTATTGTCTGATGTGAAATAATGGAATTCAAGTGTTCAATAATTTTCTTTATGAGGTGACCCTGAAAATGCAGGGTCTGCTGATGAAAACATCATTAAAGGGTGTAGGGAACAACTTCCACACTTCCTAAAGACAGTTTTCTTAGATTTGGGGTCAGTAAAGTGCAAAAGAATTTGAGTGGAATTTTTTTGGAGTGCAAATTATTGAATGTAATTCTGGGAAAACAATCAACTGTCCCTCAGCTCCCAGGCACAGGGCTGGGTGTGCCCAGCACGTACAAACACCAGGGAAGTTTCAAATGGCTTTTTCTTCCCAAAAGCTGTTAGTTCTCTTAGTGCTTTGAGCTCCACAATATTCTCAGGAGCAAAGCCCAGGTGACAAAGATTTATGTGTTCAGGTTATAAGAAGGGAACTGAACACCAGGACACATTTAAACGTGTTTAACATGATGACACACAATAACATTGCCAATGGAAATTTCTAAATCGTTGGTTACATTCTGCAACAAATTAAATACAGCTCTCCCTGCTTCTTGTGACAGAGAATTCTGAGAATTTACATTTGTGGGAATGGCATTTATTGCCAGCTATAACTTCTCTTCAAAGTGAATAATAAAAAATGCATTATTTTTGCTATTTCCAGTAAAGATGTCAAACCCATCATTCCCATTATCCCACGCTGGGATCAGGATCTTGCAGGAGGGGACTCAGCAACAGGAGCCCAGCACTGCCCCTCCTGGGCTGGGGGCTCAGAATGCACCTGCTTTTGGGGGGTTTCAGCCAGACAAATTCTGCATTTCTGTGCCAGGAAATCAAGCACACCTGGGCTGGCCTGGCAGGGGATGACAGCACACAAATCCCACCCAGGGGCCTTCAGGCTTTAGGCACTAAGCTGATTTGAACTGATGGCTTGGAAAAAATTTAAGGTAAAACACTGTGTAGCACCTAATCTTGTAAAATAATAAATGCAGCAATGGACTCCCAACATTCCCTGACCAAAGTTTGACAGTGCCTTAAATTGCATAATTATCAAACAATTCAATTTCATTTGTCTGGGACAAAGCTAGTGGCTTTTATTTTACAAAGACCATTCATCACTTACATAAATGTGATAAAACTAATCCCGATCCAAAGCTCCTTTGTGGGATTAATGTCCCTTAAAACAGGGAAATGAGACATTCCAGTCCTTCTGGGAAAAACGCTGAAGGATTGGGAAAGAACCAATTTATGGCTACAAGGCTGCTGATGATTAATGTAATATCCCCAGTCTACAATGCAACCTTCACTTAATTAGTGCCTGTAATTGGGAGTTGTAAAGATAAGATTAATTGAATCTTGAGGATGTTAAAAGTTTAATACATTGGAACACAGTTATTGTGTTATCTGAAACTGCAGCCTGCAAAAAGCCAAGTGAGGCTTCAGAGAGCAGCCCATGGAGAGACAAAGAAAAAAGACTTGCTTGGATAGAAACCAGCCAGAGAGGAGGAATTTCCAGCTTATAAAAAAGAACTATATGTAATAATATACAAATCAAAATACCCCAGCACAGAATGGTAATAGCTGACTCCAATTTTAGAAATTAACTTTTTTTCTTTGGGCCAGTCTTTAGGAAGCAGAGCCTACACATCCCTCTGCATTTATTCTTAGGAATTCAAAATATTAACTGCAGAAGAGAATTAAAAGTAGGTCAAATTCTGCTTTAAGTTATGCTCTCAAATCTGACTGATTTACATAAAGCTAGGCAATAAAGACAGAATTTGGGCTGCTATTTAAAACCAGGAAGAGAAGCAGAAGGCTCCTGCACGTATGGCACAGACTGAGCTCCATCTACACACAAATGATTGATTACGAGGGACAACAACAACGGAAAGATGAAAAATCGCTGCAGTCACTGAGCCACGAGCACCCAGCACGGGCTGGCTCTGGGTGCCACTGGTGCCCCTGCTCTGTGTGACCCAGCAGCCCTGGTGTCCCTCAGCACAGCTGGGCACATCCCCAGAGCTCAGCTCAGCTCAGCCCAGCCCAGCCCAGCCCAGCTGCCAAACCCCCATTCCACAGGTGAAAAACACCCAGTGATCTCCTTTCCTACAGGCTCCCAGAGCCCCCTGAGCTGGGGACACTGAGCTGGACGTGTCCCTGTGGCTCAGCCTGGCCCCAGGACAAGGGACACTGATGGCCACAGAGCCAAAGCAGCAGCTGGGGGGACACAAATCAAACCCCCAAGGCACCGGGCGTGCAAACCTGCCTCCAGCCTTGCACAGAGTGACCAAGACAAAGGGCCAGGCTGCCCCCAAAACCCTGCCACTCAGCAGTCTGGGGATTCCAGCAGGAAAAATGTGCTGCTGCTCTGCCAGGGAGCAGGAGATTTACACAATGGGGAAAGAAAAAACAGCTTGAGATAAAAAAAGTTATAGCTCTCTGACTCAAATGTCATCTCACCCCCAAGTCAACAACCTGAAAGTAATATACTGAGCCTTTTAAATTACCTTTTTCTACTTTCCACCAAAACAACAGAAAATCCCTGAAGTGGATCAAGTACCACTTGTACACATCTAGAACTTGCTGTTCTGTGGGAAAGACTCTCAGCTTCCAAACTTATTTCATGAAACCTAATTCCAGCACTTCTGATCTCTACTTCCATGCAATTTTCTGAGTTCTTGAGTCAGAATCACAAGTCCAAAAGGTTTTGCCCCAAAGCTATAAATGAGTTAGAAAATTATCTTCCTGGAGTGGTGGCTTGCTTTTGTTAATATGGAATCATGGAATCCCAAAATGGTTTGGGTTGGAAGAGATCTTAAATATCCATTTCCACCCCTGCCATGGCAGGGACACCTCCCACTGTCCCAGGCTCTCCCAGCCCTGTCCAGCCTGGCTTTGGCACTGCCAGGGATCAGGGGCAGCCCCAGCTGCTCTGGGCACCTGTGCCAGGCCTGCCCACCCTGCCAGGGAGGAATTCCTTCCCAACATGAGTTTAACTGGACAGTCCCCTCTCCATCCTTAACACAGAGAGAGGTCTGTCCTATTTGCCATCACAGGATATCATTAATAGAGTAATTTTCTTGGTGTTTTGTTTATTCCCCTGGAATGGGGCTTGATGGATGTGGATAATTATCAGACTATAAAAGCCAGTAAATGTGCTATTTTCTATCGCTCTAAATCATCAAACAAATAAAGTGTGAAACAGCATTTCTGAATACAATTTTCCCCTCTAATGGTTTAGAATTATTATCAGGAACAATGAGAATAAATAAGCAAATGTCTTGTGAATTAAGAATTAAACAAGTGTGTCAGTAAAAGGGAGCACTCAGGCCAGCCTGGGATGCAGGGATGCCCTTGGGGACCACCAAGGAGTGATGTAAGAGGGAATTCACTGGGCAGCCTCCAGCACCAGGGGCTGCTCAGGGACCTCCCAGCCCCAGGTTCTCCCCTCCCTGCTGCCTCCTCAAAGGGACTCAAGCTCAGTTTTGGCTTCCAGTGGCCAAAAACCTAAAACTTCATCCACAGCAAAGGCCTGCTCACAGCTGTTTTCTGCTTGTTTAAGAGGAATTTTTCTCACCTGAAGCCACCCCTACCTTTGGCAGAGGACCAGACCATCCTGTCCCTTCCCCCAAAGCTTCCAAGACCTTTTCCCACTCCAGCTGTCACTCCCAGAGTTTTTGCCAGTTACACCTTGTTCCACACCTCATTTACACTCTCTTGCACCAACACAGAGCAATTAAGCAGTGATTAGTTCACAAATCCCACACCCCGCTCTCGGGGAGCCATGGGCAGGGGGAGGTTCAACCACAAGACTCTGGAAATGTCACTTCAGTGCCATTCCTGGGAGAAGGTAAGAAACTCAATTTCACAGTGTCTGCACAAGGTCTGCCCAAGCAGGCCCCACACAGTTTAACACACCACAATTATGGAATGAGGAACAGGAACAGAACGGGAGCAGCACATTTCAAATGCCCAGGCCAACGTGTCGAGCTGGGGTGAGTTATCTGTCTTCAAAGCAGATTTAATTGTGCCAAGAACAGTGACCCTTTAAGATTCAAATGCCAACCTGCTCTCAGCCACGACAGGCAGAATGAAAAGCTGCTATTTCAGTCTCTGTAAGGCAAAGGGTGCCCATAAACCCAGAATCTGAACCCTGACCTTCAACATCTGCACCCCCATGGCAGCAGCAAAGCCTCCAAAGAAAACCCCTTGGTCCATCAGGAATATTTATCACCAACAGAAGCATTAAGAACTAGCATTAGCACGGGGTGGTCCCTCCCTGCAAAGTTCACATCCTGCTCCTGAGGCCTCATTTTTCTACAAGGTAAAACATTAAACAACATCTCCTCACTGTGTCAGAGCACAGCTCAGGGTAGAAGTGTGGGTTTCCATGCTAGAATCTCCCAGAATATCCTGAGCTGGAAGGGACACACAGGAATCCTGCTGTGCAACACTATTTT